CAATCAATCAATCATCTTTCTTTTCAATTCATATTTTACGTAATAATTCTCGTGAACATGTATACTTGAACTCAATCGATGATTTCTATACTTCATAAAGAGAAAAGAAAGTAAGTTAAATCAATATAAAAACCTTGGTTGGGAATATAATCATTAATATACTGGCATTGTATTCTGACAGAATAGAAAGAAAAGTATGATTGAGATTATATATTGCAAATTAATGTTATTGACTACCATGTATCATTTATTAATTTATAAATATATATAAATATATGATCATATTACAAAAAACTCGATAAATTTTTTTTTGTAAAGACTACCTTAACAGTAATATCCTACTCAATAATTACTATACTTACTAAACAACAAAAACGTTCAATATGAATAAAATTATATCAATTCTTTTCTTTTTTTTTCAAATATTGTGTCAAATGCATTTATATAATTGAATTCAAAAAAAAATATATATAAAACCGTACGTAATCTTTATTATTCACATGTTAAGCATAAAAATGAATGTATTATAAAAGAACATGCTGACAATCGTAATTAGAATATTTGATTATATAATATGTCTATTCACTATTCTTTTAAATATCACATAAAAGATTATATATGTCTCTTACAGTTTAGACATATTCATAATAGGAATTAAATCTAATTTTTTTACAATTTCAATACAAACTGTCAAAAAATACCAATACGATGGAAAATATGTTATGTGAAATAACTAAGATTTCGTAAGGTTTGAATGTATTTTATTCTAAGATTTAATATTATATAGAATTGAGAATTTAGATGCGCGTTTTATCTCTAAGTTTCGAAGTATTAGATAGAAGTAATGTTTTATTTATAAATCATTAATCTAACCTAGTTTGTTTTGAATCACTTACGGTTATTGAAAGTCTGTTCACCAGAGCGACAGCTATCTTATTTTTGAATCAATCAGATGAGCAGTGGCGGATTAAAGAATGATCGTCCCCCCTCCGTTCAGAAATTTTTTTTTGATTTTTTACAGCAAAAATTGGTTCACACTACTTCGATTGGACTCAAAAATAGTTTTTGGCCGAAATGACCCCCCCCCCCTTCTACTCAGGTATCGCCCCTCCCTTCCAAAATCCTAGATCCGCCACTGTAGATGAGTATCTACATTTAGTTTTTCTTCAAATCATATAGATTTACTGGCATAGTATGAAACAGTACATCACATCTGTTTAAGTTCAATATTATTGGCTGCGTAGTCTATTTATATTACTTGAATAAGCCAATGTTAGCGCTCTCTATCATATAATAAAATTTGAAGAATAAAATATAAAAATATAATAAAATCGAACTAGAAGATCGAACGGATTTTTTTATAAATTCTAATTAGATAAAAGGATTATATAAATCTTTTAATTATTTTCACTTAGCAACCATTGAGCAATACAATATCTTAATGTCGTGTGACCTCAGAAGAAATTCTTTTTTTTTTTTTAAAAGAAAGTTGATGTATGTGTGCCTTGATAGAAAAAATTCAATCGACGACATAAACTCATGTTTATTATTGCAGATGAAAAATGGAGAACAATCAAGAAATATTAATATGAATATATCATTTACGTCTATTAATCAATTATCTGGTATGTTTCGGAAAAACAATTTTTATCTAAGAAGAAAACTTTCAAGAGTCTTTACAAAGAAATTTTATATTTTGCTAGTATTTATTAGATATTTCGTCTATTCGATGAGTATAACAGAATATTGTGAATTATTTTGTTATTTAATATTATGTCTGGAGGTCTTCAAAATAAGTGAATATATGTCATCCATTGTTTGATCTCATTTGCATATTCTTTATGTATACAAGTTAATCATGATACCCGTAAAAATCAGTAAATTCGAAAACAATATAGTTCATATTAGTATGTATAATCAATATCTATACTTGTTAATAGATCTAGTCATTAATATATTTTTCTTTTAAATCAATCAATCATAATACGAAGATTATGTATATATATATATTATTGTAGATGAATATACCGGTTTTGCTTTTCCATTAATATAAAAACTTCAGATTTAAGTAAAAGACACAAAAATGAACACAACAAAAGAAGAATTTAATATCCCGAATGTAATTATTGATCCTAAAACACGTGCTCAATATGCTAAAGGAAAATTTCTTGGCAAAGTTTGTTGATATATATATATATATTCATTTCTTCATTTATTCTCTTTTTTGAATTATCAAGGGAGGTTTTGCCCGATGTTATGAATTAACTGATGTTAATACTGGTCAAATATATGCTGGAAAAATTGTACCTAAAACAATGCTTGTAAAACCTCATCAAAAAGAAAAAGTAGATATTTTTATTTGTAATATATTTAAATAATTTCTTTGTATTAGATGCAACAAGAAGTGACAATTCATCAATCACTTACACATAAACATATTGTTCAATTTTTTTCATATTTTGAAGATGAAAATTATGTTTATATTATCCTTGAACTTTGCCGACGACGAGTATTATTTTCTTGTTTTTTTATTTTTTGGATTTTTATACTTTTATTTATTTAATCTATTAGTCATTAATGGAATTACATCGACGACGTAAAACAGTAACCGAACCTGAAACACGTTATTTTGTTAAACAAATTGTTGATGCATGTTTATATTTACATGAAAAACGAATTATTCATCGAGATCTTAAATTAGGAAATTTATTTCTTAATGATCAAATGGAAATTAAAATTGGAGATTTCGGTTTAGCAACTCGAATGGAAAATGATTCAGATCGAAAACGGTAATATTTTTAAAAAAATTAAATATTGAATGCCTTAGGGTTCTAATCAATTCAATGTTAGTGAAGAACTTTTTCAACGAAAGATCAATGTATACTTTAAAGTTTGAGTAGACGTTTTTTTTCAAGTGATCAGATATAAATCAGTGATTTAAGTTCATTACTTTGATGATGAATTTTATGGTATAGTTATCAATCGGACTAAACAAGAATATCTTTTCAATGTCTAATAGAAATAGTCAAGGCATGGGAGTAGAGACCTGCACGGAGTCATTTTCGGAGTCGCCGTCCGGGTCAGGTAAATTTCATGTCAATAATTCAACTTCGCCAAGACAAAAGAAAAGTCGGAGTCATTTTCGACTCCGATTTTTTCTGTATTTTATTTTGGTTTTTGAGACTTACTAAGACGTCTGTCGATCCTTCAAAATACATCATTTTGTAGAGAAGATGTTTGATAACAAAACCATGAACTTAAATAATCTTTAACGCTAAAGTTAAGCACAATATATGCAGGACGATAATGTTTTAGTGTTTCACCTAGCATCAGTAAACACTGATATGTATAGTCAAACCTCCCATTTTTTATATAAATCGATCGATTTCAATTTCTTAGTTTATGTTCTTTGTATAAAAATTTTCTATTTTGTTTAGAACACTCTGCGGTACGCCAAACTATAGTGAGTTTAAAATAGTCTTTTTTTAAATATTTATTAAATTCCGTTTCGTTTACAGTTGCACCTGAAGTAATCAATAAGAAAGGTAAGATTTTTATATAAAATCTTTGTTTAATATTCTTTATTTTTTTGTTTTTCCAGGTCATGGTTATGAAGTTGATGTATGGAGTTTAGGTTGTGTTCTTTATACACTATTGATTGGTAAGCCACCATTTGAAACTACCACATTGAAAGATACATATTCTAAAATACGTAAAAATGACTATGAAATTCCACCGAATTGTATAAGTCCTGAAAGTTGTTTACTTATTCAACGTTGTTTACAACATGATCCACAAGAACGTCCATCGATGCGTAAAATCTCTCAAGATATATTTTTTTCTGGTTTTACTCCAGCAACTTTACCAACATCTGTTTGTACAATTGCACCACGTTATTCCGTTATGCCACCTACATATCAATCACAACAAACATTAATAAATCCTAATAAAGTTACAAAAGTTATTCAGCAACCTCCACCACCATCAGCACAACAAACACAACAGCAACAACAACAGTATCGTCGTCCATTTAGTGAACAACAACAAAACGAACAAGCATTAGTTGCAACACGTCATCAAACAGCTATGTCGTTGCCAACACCAATATTAATGAATGAACGTTCGAAAGACGCTGTGAGTCTTAATGGACGTTTAACATCAGCTGCATCAAAACAAACCGATATTATTTTATCATCACAAATGGTTCGACAAATAACAAATGCTGATAATGATGCATTTGTACCACCTGGAGCAACAAATGAAGAAATTAGTGATGATTTACATTTAGCTAATGATCTTCTTAGACAATTAGATCATTTAATACAATCAAAACCAAATGAAATGATTGATAAACATGAAGATGAAGCTGAAGATCCAGCATCAGCACCTATGCTTTGGATATCAAAATGGGTTGATTATTCAGATAAATATGGTTTAGGTTATCAATTATGTGATGATTCAGTTGGTGTTTTATTTAATGATTCAACACGTTTAATAATGACAGCTGGTGGTGCAGAAAATCTTCAATATATTGATAGAGAAGGTATTGAACATCTATGTACAATGAAAGATTATTCGGAACAATTAAAAAAGAAAGTTACTTTACTTAAAGTATGTTCTCTTTAAAGTATTAAAAAAATTCGATTATTTTCATTTTTAGTATTTTACTTCCTATATGGATGAACATCTACTTAAAGTAAGTACTTAACTCTGCTATCATAATCTGTCAAATAAGAACTTAAGTTTCAAATTAAGAAAACTGATAATTCATTTAGTTCCAATAAGCGATTAATGTTTTTATATCAAACATTGAAATTATATATGTTTATTCATTAATTTTCTTCTAGGCTGGTGCTGCACAAGCTCCTCGACCTGGAGATGAACTTTCTCGACTTCCATGTGTTAAATCATGGTTTCGTACACGTAATGCGATTGTTTTTTATCTTTCCAATGGCACATTACAGGTTTGATATGAAAATTTATATTTCAAAATAAAAATATAATTATTTATTTTCTAGATAAATTTCTTTCAAGATCATACAAAAGTTATTTTATGTCCGTTAATGAGTGCTGTTACGTATATAAATGAACATCGAGAAATTCGTACATATCGTTTGCCAGCATTAGAACAATATGGTTGTTCAAAACAATTATTTACACGTATTAAATATGCTAAAAGTATGGTTGATAGAATATTAGCAAATAAAAGTAATCAAAATCGAATTCATTAATTATTCTCATGTACGTTTTTAACTTGTGCAATCTTAACTTTTGATTGAATTCTTTCAAAATGAATATGTTCATCTTTTCACTAACTTTTGCTTGTTATTATTATTATTATTATTATCACTTGTGTGTGTGCGCGCGCGTGTGTGTGTAAAAAAATAAACTATAATTTACAACAGCAGCGATAGTGGCAGCAGTATTGTGACGAAACTGTTGATTATTGTTCTTTTGCACTTCACTTTTTATTATTATTATTATTATACTGATTTCATTTTCTTTCTTCTTCTTTTCTGCATTTGATATAGCAGAATGACAGAAACTTCAAATAAATTAAAATAATTTCAATAGTATTTAGAAATAAATTGTTTTCGTATAACTGTTATTAAGAAAATAATATTACCTAAAAACATAGTTTCGCTACGTCGTATTCTTTGCGCTATTGTATAATAAATAGGAATGGACGATTTTGCTCATATCTATTATCATGCTTGTTTGTCTGACTTTCAGAAATTTTGCTAATTAAGCTTTTCTCTTGATAAAAAGTCTTCCTAATCTATGAGCAGAAGAAAAGATAACGATCCAAACTTTCTTCTTCCCGTGTCAATAGTTCTAGCTAGTCGTGTTTCATAGCAAAAAAATAAAACGCACGATATCGCAGTTTGTGATAGATTGAATAGTCAAAAACACAATACATTGTTAATGTTTATTTTTGTTGAAATTCTAGGGATTCATTTTATTAAATTATATTCTCCTCTGAGTCTTCTATATTGCGATTGTGAACCTTTTACAAGATATGTTAAAACTCTCTTGAATAATCATTATAACCTCCAAAGTAGTAAAAAGCTCTAAACAAAATTACTCTCAGAAAGAAAATATATAGTTATATTGATGAGTACTATAAACGAGGTAGTAAACTTTATGACGTCTATATTTGCTTTCTTTTATTATGTTTTTGGTTAAACACAATGTCCCTTTTCTAGAACGAATCATGAGAATAACCTACATATGATCATTTATTTCTTTTATCCAAATATACTTCGTACTCTCCTACAGGAAAGTGGTTCAAAAACGATCCACTCGGCTTCAGCAGGTTAAATAAATCAATTTATATTAGTCAAACTTTATTCTCTAACAAGCGTTCATATTTTTTTTATTAGAAAACACAACAAGAAAATAACAACGTTGAATTATGATGCTCGACTACAGTACATTAGTATCAACCAAATACACATAACAAAATCTTAGTTTTATTGATCTTTTCGTTCTATCTTAACCTATCTATGAAAAACAAAAAACAAAATTTTTATTTGAACGAACTACTAATGTAAAAAAACACAAAAAATCTGCATACATATATATATATATATCACAATGAGTTCGAAATACTCGTATATTTAATAAACAAAATCATTATTCATATTCATTTCTCTGATGCATTATCTTCTGTATTTGCCCATGTTAAACGATCTTCATAAAAACGAATAACTTGTTGTGGACTTCTAATATTTGCTAGAAAAAACAAAGAATAAAAAAGAAAAACAAATGTAAAACTCCTACCAATTCGAGCTGGAACTAATTCTGGTTTATCTGTTGATTGCCATTTAATTCTAAAATAAATTTTATGACTATTTTTAATAACAAAAAGAGAAAACGTTAATCTTACAAAAACATTAATTCACCATAGACATCTGTGGCTCCAAGAATCTTTTCAATTTCAAGTCCTCTACCATAACCATAATCATTTGCACGTTTAATTTTTTTCGATGGATCATTCGTTGCAGTTTCTTGTGTCATTCGTTTATTTGAATCAATACTTTCATTTGGTTCTAAAGATTTTTTTGATCGTTTATGATAATCAGCTATTAATTCAGGACAATCAAGATTCATTTCAGGTTCCTAATTTAAAAAAGTAAAGTTTCAATTGTCATTTTTCTATTTTTGCCTTTTACCCAAGTATTTTCTGTATCATCGAAACCTTTCCATTTTAAATAATAATAAACTTCACCATTAACAACTTTTCTATCAAGAATTTTTTCAACAATAAATTCTGCTTCATCTAATTCTTCATCTTCAGAATTGTCATGATGTTTAACCATGATTGAAATATTATGTGTATATATATCTATCTAGAAAATCAATGTTTAGTATTAGATTAAATGATCAATTGCATTGTTGCCCTATTTCATTTTCTGATTGATCAATTTTTTATATTGGGAAGAAAATTTTTTTTTTTACATACCGATTTATTTTCTAACTCTCTTTATTTAAATAAAATATGGAATATATATTAATAGTTATTATTATGGAGGTAGATTGTTAGCGATAGTAGCGTTCCATGCGTATTGGTTCATAAATAATCTTCGAAATATTAGAGCGGTTCTTTGTCTAAAAAAACGACGACAATAGGCCGTGTGACAAAAAAAAATTTATTATGTCATTCAAGTTCGGGAATTTATATATCACTTTATTTCTGAACAACAGATAGATAATGTCGAAAAATACCCAAATTTTGTTTTTGTATAATATAAGAAATTTGGGTAATTGACAATTAGTGTATAGAGATCTTGTTATCAAAAAATGATAGTATGAAAACTACATTTGTCGAATATCAAATAGTTCCATAGTAAATACGAAACTTTCTTTTCCTCACTCTACATGTTACCCAAGCAATATTAATCGAATTTAAGACTTTGTATTTAAAACAATGAACTATAACGAGATAACAATGTACTATGAAATCTAAAATAATACGAAGAATTCTATCGGTTCAATAAAATTGAACGAAATCTTATAACATTGATTGATATTTTCAGATAAGAAAAGAATGGAAGAAGAAGAAAATGAAGAAACAGTTGGAAATACCGATGATTTTATTGATGATATTGTACCATCATCTACACTTGGACTTTCATTTGAAAAACGTCGTGAACGTTTAAATCAATCTGATCGTATTGATCAATTATATGGATGTTTACGTTATACAGAATTTGAAGAACGTATTGGTTGGCTTTATAATTTACAACCATGTGAAATATTTGATGAAGATCGTCGAAGATTTGTATCGTCACTTGATCTTTATTTTATTGGTGAAATAGGTGATCGATTTAAAATTTCAATTGTATATTCACCATATTTTTATGTTGGAGCAAAACTTGGAAGAGAAAATGATGTTTTTGCTTATCTATCAAAACGATATCATAATCGATGTTTATCATGTGATCTTGTGGCAAAAGAAGATTTAGGTATGAATCGCATCGACTAACCTTACTATCATTTATGCTCGATTTTTTAGATCTTCCTAATCATCTAGCTGGGATTAAACGTACATTTATTCGTCTACGTTTTCTTGATATTGATGATTTAATAAAAGCTCGTAAAGAATTACAACCAATTGTTAAACGTAATACAGAACGTGAAAAAGAACAACAATCTCATCCTGAATTAGCTGTATTATCTCGAAATCAATCAGCTAATTCACGAAGTAGTGATATTATTGTTAATGGTCTTTCGAATGCAAATGTTGCTGGTAAACAAATTGATGGAATTATTGAATTACGTGAATTTGATGTACCGTATCATATTCGAGTTTGTATTGATTTAAAAATTAATGTTGGTCTTTGGTTTGTATTGTTTTAGAAGACTAAGAAGAAAAATAAATTGAATTTATTTTTTCTAATTAGGTATGGTGTTCGTGGACAATCAACTAGTGGACCACAAAATCAACTTGTATTAAAACCAGATTTAATTGAACAGCCTGAACCAATTGTACTTGCATTTGATATTGAATGTACTAAAATGCCATTAAAATTTCCAACAGCAGTATCTGATCAAGTTAGTAAAAGAGTTTTATTTGATTTTTTTGTGTATCTTTCAAATAATTCTATTCTTAGATTATGATGATATCTTATATGATTGATACTCAAGGTTATTTAATAATCAATCGTGAAATAATATCTCAAGATATCAATGATTTTGAATATACACCTAAAAAAGAATATCCTGGTCATTTTCATGTATTTAATGAATCAAATGAATTTGAATTACTTAAACGTTTTTTTAATCATATTGTTGATGTTAAACCACATATATTAGTAACATATAATGGTGATTCATTTGATATGCCATTTGTTGAACAACGTGCACAATTTTATGGTTTAAATATGTATAATGAAATTGGATTTCGAAAAGATTCTCAAGATTGTTATCTATCACGTCCATGTATACATATGGATTGTATTAAATGGGTTAAACGTGATAGTTATTTACCTGTTGGTAGTCATGGTCTTAAAGCAGTAACAAAAGCTAAATTACGTTATAATCCAATTGAAATTGATCCAGAAGATATGTGTCGTTTAGCTGTTGAACAACCACAAACCTTATCAAATTATTCCGTATCAGATGCTGTAGCAACATATTATTTATATATGAAATATGTACATACATTTATTTTTGCACTTGGAACAATTATTCCAATGAGACCAGATGAAGTACTTCGAAAAGGTAAATCTCTAAATATATATAATCTAACACTAAATAAACGAAAGGTGTGGGTGTAGATAAATCAAGGGGAAAATGCGTACTTTTGCACTTCAAGTGAATTTGAGCTACTTTATGCTACTTTGCACTGCTTTATGCTACTTTAAGTTACTTTACGCTACTTTTAAGCTACTTTGAGTTAGTTTGAAGCGCTATGTACTGCTATTACATATTTTGAGCTATTGTTGTACCTTGCACTACTTTGTACTTGAAATTAATTCTACATACTTTGAACTACTTCGATCTACTTTGGGCTACTTTTTTACTTCGAACCACTTTTGTATTTTGAGGTACTTCCTGTCACTTCTACATATTGTAAACTACTTTGATACTTTGCAGTACTTTATGCTTTAAAGTACGCATTTTCCCCCTTGAAATAAATAATAAATCCCGACACACCTACCCACCCTCAAATAAAGTAGTTATTAACGTACTAAATATAAATTCTTGTTTTTAGGTTCTGGAACATTATGTGAAACATTATTAATGGTACAAGCTTTTATGGCCAATGTTATTTATCCAAATAAACATGAAGATGAACAGTATAAATATACAACTGACGGTCATTTACTTATTACTGAAACATATGTTGGTGCAAGTGTTGAAGCACTTGAATCCGGTGTATTTCGTAGTGATATACCATGTCGATTTAAAATTGTTCCGTATGTTTATTTATTATTTCCTATTGTTCATCTATATATAAAGAAATATATGTTTTAGTGAAACAATTCAATATTTAATTGATAATATCGATCGTACACTTCAACAATCCATTGAAATTGAAGAAAAATTATCTATTGATTTAATAGAAAATTTATCTGAAATAAAAGATGATATTCTTCAACGATTACAACATTTAAAAAATGTTCCTAATCGTCTTGAAAATCCAAATATCTATCATTTAGATGTTGGTGCTATGTATCCAAATATAATTTTAACAAATCGTTTACAACCATCAGCTATTGTTGATTCAACAATATGTGCACAATGTGATTTAAATCGTCCAAATGCACGTTGTCAACGTAAAATGGATTGGATATGGCGTGGAACATATGTTCCAGCAACACGTAATGAATTACAACGTATTCAATTACAACTTGAAAATGAACGTTTTTCATTTAATGGACAATCAATTGAGAAAAAAATGTTTATCGATGGATCAAAGAAAGGAACAAATACAGGTAAAATATTTATCTTTCAATTTTAAGATTTTTATTTTTCGTTTTTAGCTAATAATAATAATAATACTCCTACTAATAATACTTTATCATTTCATGAATTACCACAAGAAACTCAAATATCAATTGAACGTAAACGTTTAGCTGATTATTGTCGTAAAGCATATAAAAAAGTGAATCATACACGAGAAGAAACTCGAGAAACAACTGTATGTCAATGTGAAAACTCTTTTTATGTCGATACAGTTCGTGCATTTCGTGATCGACGTTATGAATATAAAGGTTTACATAAAAAATGGAAGAAAAATTTAGCTACGGCAGCTAAAAAAGATGATCTTAGTGAAGCTAAAAGATGTAATAATCTAATTGTTATTTATGTAAGTTAAATATTTACAAAAATTAGATATTTTGAATGTTTTTTTTTCATATTTAGGATTCATTACAACTTGCACATAAATGTATTCTTAATTCATTTTATGGTTATGTTATGAGAAGAGGTTAATAAAAATTACTTTCTAAATATGTGTAATATAATTTTTTGCTTTGTTTATTCTAGGTGCTCGATGGCATCGAATGGAAATGGGTGGTATTGTATGTACAACAGGTTCAACTATTATTAGACGTACTCGAGAACTTATTGAACAAATTGGACGACCTCTTGAACTTGATACAGTAATTTAATTATTCTTAAATAAGCAGGGTGAGGGTGTGGGCGTGGATATCGGTGTAGATAAATAATAAATCCCGGCACCACACACCCTCAAGATGATATACTAGCTGTAACGATTGAGATAGGAAGATGACTATAATTAAAAATCTTTTAAACTACTGATTTTATTATTTAGGATGGTATATGGTGTGTATTGCCAGCAACATTTCCTGAAAATTATGAATTAATAACGCGTGATGAATCACGTCCAAAAGTTGTTATATCTTATCCATGCAGTTTATTAAATTTACTCATTAAAGATCATTATACAAATGATCAATATCATGAATTAGTTGACAAAGAAAAACATTCATATGAAATTCGTTCGGAAAATTCAGTTTTTTTTGAAATCGATGGTCCTTATTTAGCAATGATATTACCAGCATCAAAAGAAGAAGGAAAACGTATAAAAAAACGTTATTGTGTTTTTAATATGGATGGTTCAATAGCTGAATTAAAAGGTTTTGAAGTTAAACGTAATGGTGAATTACAATTAATTAAAATCTTTCAAGCTAGCGTTTTTGAAGCATTTCTTAAAGGAACAACACTTGAAGAATGTTATGGTCATGTTGCTGCTATTGCTGATTATTGGCTTGATGTGTTATTTTCACGTGCTAAAGATATAACAGATAAAGAATTATTTGAATTAATTTCAGAAAGAAGAACTATGTCAAGAATGCTATCAGATTATGGAGAACAAAAATCAACATCAATTTCAACAGCTAAACGGTAAAATCAGTTTAGGATTCTATTCCTGCTATAATCTGAGCATATTCTCTTTCGTATACATTATCTTATATACTTCATATATCCAAAACTCTAAGATAAATCTCATCAATAATACGATTTGTTAGTTGTATCACTAGTGCTTACCTAATACAGTAATCGATAGGTTATTATTATCAACCAATTCTATTACTAATTAACTAATAACAGACAAATATATTCATCTATCTTATTGAACAAATTTCTTATCTTTGGAAATTTTATAAAAAGCTGATAGTTTCGAAAAATAGATGTTTTTCTGTATATTAATCTTATGTTATTACAGTTGGCGAATGTCCATTGTAGTTTCGATTGACGCTGAGAATATTTAATAGTTCGTTTGAGTAGATAAGATGATTTTTCTCAGAATTAAGATTATTATTAATTTTCAATTTCTTTAGACTTGCTGAATTTCTTGGTGAAGATGTTATTAAAGATAAAGGTCTCTGTTGTCGATTTGTTATTGCTAATGTTCCACGTGATGCACCTGTAACTGAACGTGCTATACCATTAGCTATTTTTCAATCTGAACAATCTATACGCAATCATTATTTACGTAAATGGTTACGTCTTTCATCTGTTGACAATCTTGATATACGTGAAATTCTTGATTGGAATTATTATATTGAACGTTTTAGTAGTTGTATACAAAAAATCATAACTATACCAGCTGCTTTACAAAATATTCGTAATCCAGTTGTACGTGTACCACATCCTGATTGGTTACATAAACGTTTAGTTGAAAAAAATAGTTTATATAAACAAAAACGTATAACTGATGTATTTAATTCAGTTGATAAACAAACTCATTCAGATAATACAGAACAACAATTATCAAATGATATTGAAGATATTGCTGGAAAATCTAAAACTTCAATGTCATCAATAAAAATAACAAAAAAACGTAAACGTGATGAATTAAATGAAAAAACCATTACACGACAATGGAGAATTGTTCTTGGTCCACCACCAACATTTGGTCAAACAACAAGTCAACATATTAAATGGCTTAACTATCAAAAACGTAAATGGGAAATACAACGTGAACAAGCATCATCGAATAATTCTGATAATAATAATATACAATTATCAACGAAACCAAAATCAGCAACAAGTGGTAAAATTGATACATATATTCGTCGTGCAGCTGAACATTTACATACACGTCCATGGCAAATAATATCTTATGAATTAACTGATCAACCTGGTTTATTTAAAGCCTGGTGTTTAGTTGAACATGAATTAGTTCAAATAAAAATCAAAGTACCAAGAATATTTTATGTTAATTATCGTACATCAATTGAAAATATTTCAAATCAAACTCAACGATCAGCTGGTTATGAACGTGCTATACAAAATTGTTCACATAAAGTTAATCGTTTATTACCACGTTGTTCACAAGCTTATTATCTATATGAATATCGTTTAGATGAAAATCATTTTCGTGATTATTATACAGATATAATGACTGATTTAAGTAATCCAGATATTGAAGGTGTTTATGAAATGAATGTTCCATTAGATTTTCGTCTTCTTCTTACACTTGGTTGTATATGTTCATTACGTAAAGAACATTATCGAACAAATATGCTTTCAAATTTATATGAATTTGATGAATTAGAATTTTTATCATTATCAGAACAAACATATTTACAAGCAGGTTCATTACAATGTATTTATTTATATATACATCAAGATAATGGAAAATTATTTATTGCTTTATTTATACCAAATAATTGTCGAGTATTTATTGGCATACTAGATGATATAAGAGAAAATCGTATGCCAAATTTAAATAAATTATTAAAAAATGAATGTGAAAAACGACTTCAACGAGGTATTGATACAAATTTATTACCAATTAATGAACATCAATTTGAAGTTAAAGTTGATACAGATATACAAAGTATTTGGAAAAGATTCAATAAAATTATTGCAAGTTGTAAGTATAAGTTTATTAAAACCATCTTGAGGGTGTGAGTCTAGATGTAGAGACGATATCATACCCATTCACCCATATCCTTTCATTTTGATTTATTTATTCTTTCATTTTAGTACGTGAAAGTGATATGGCAACTCGTTCTTTACCAATTTATTTGGCTATTCAATCAAATATTCCTGTGCTTGACCTTCAAACATCGATGTTATCATCATTAGCTGATTATCCAAAAGTAACATTATCAATAAAAGATAAACCTAATCTATATAATCAACTTGATTGGCAACGAACAGCAGCTCGTCATGCATTACAACATTATGCAAATGCAAATATAATTCTTGTTAATATGCTTGAACAATGTCGATATTTACATATTCCATTAGGAAATTTTCCAGATGATCCATGTTTATTTGCATGTGATCTATTTTATGCTCGACATTTAGTTAAACATAATCATTTATTATGGTGTTCATTGACAGATCAACCTGATTTAGGTGGAAAAGAACAAGATGATTATCGAATGTTATTAACAGCTGATGTTAATGATGGTAATGTAAATTCAAATGATGAAAATATATTTAAAAATGATAATGAAGAAATTCATACAAATAGACAAAATCATCCATTTGAAATTAATCATGCAGGATTTTATCCAATATCATGTATTGAATTTGAACTTGTTGGTTTAGCAATATGTGCTGTATTGAATTTTCAAAAAATTCACGAAGCTGAAGGATCAAACTTTGATCTTGGTAAGTACTAAAAATACACTATTAATCATCAGAAAAGTCTGATTGTAGTAATGAAAAGATGAAATCAAGTCATCACCATAAGATAAACGAATTTATAAGATCGTAGAAAGGAAAACAAAGACTATTTATCGGACTGAATACGATCTAGACAAGTTAACCTTATTTGAATTAGCTTTTCATGTTATCTCAATATAAATCGTTTTTCTTTTATTTCTAAGGCTTTGGTACAACTGTTCAAAATCCATTAGGTGGTCCTGGCGTAGTTCCATCCATAAATAATACATCCGTGACAGCATATGATGAAACATCTCAATGTTTACCAGCATTACGTCTTCTTCGACAAATGGCTCAAATATGGTTGCAAGATGTACATTCATATACAAATATATTTGCTGATATGCAATTGAATCATTTCTATCGTTGGTTACAATCAACGAAAAGTCTTCTTTATGAACCAGCACTTAAACGAACTATTCAAGTTTTTATGAGAAAATTACTGTAAATAATTCTATTCGATTATTTTTTTTTTTGATAAAGATATAATTCATTTTCCTTTCGTTTTAGTGTACAACTACTTGTTGAATTACAACGTATTGGTAGTACAACAATATATGGAAATTTAAATAAAATTATTTTAGCAACTAAACGTTGGTCACTTGTTGATACACGTTTATATATTAAAGTTATTCTTGAACATCTTCAATTAAAAGATTTAACATCAACTATATGTTTAGAATTAAAATCTATTTATCATTGTTTATGGTGGTTTGATGATAAAAATTATTGTGGATTTCGAATATGGTCAAATGCAAAAGGACAAATTGATGATAATATTGATAATGATGATGAAGAAGAAACGATTTTTGATTGGAATATGATTGTTTACTTACCAAGAGTTGTACAAGATTATTTCGAAACTATTATGTAAGTAATTGAAAATTATTGATCTTTACAAAGAAATATTTCATTTTTATTTAAGGATTGGATTTGCTCGTTCAATTTATGATCGTCTTCGTGATGAATATAAAGATGCAACATCAATAACACAAACAAATTTACCTACAAAAGTTCTTGAATATTGTCGTGGTCTATTTACAGATGAACTTTATCAACAATTAATGTCTGTTACAAATCAAATTGAAAGAAAATTAACAAAAAGTGATTTTGATTCAACATTACCAACACCATTATCAAGTACAAGTCCAGCACTTGAATTTGTTAAATCTGTGTGTTGTCTTCTATTTCTATTACATGATATGCATGATGATGTTATGAATCTTCGACGAGATTTACTCAAATTACTTAAACTTAGCGAGTAAGATTTTCTTTATTTCATTATTGAGGGTGAGGGTACGATATGACACCCACATCCGCACCTTCTGAACATATATTAAAATATTGTTTTGTTCTTCTATTAAGATATTCTCAAATAACAACAACAAATCTTTCATCATTAACATCATTTATTATTCCACAACTTGTTTGTTCAAATTGTAATCATTATCGTGATATAGATTTATATCGTGAAATAAATTCAACAACAGATAAAGATTCTGATGATGAACAACATCGAGAATATCAATATACATGTAATCAATGTCATACGACATATGATCAAACAGTTATTGAACAATATTTATTAAATCATTTACAAACACTTCTATTAGAAAATGTTCTTCAAGATGCTATTTGTAATAAATGTCATTTTGTTCGAAATGTTTATTATAAAGTTTATTGTGATTGTGGACAATTATATCAAAATTTACATACAACAAAACTTTTATATGATACATGTATTATATTATCACAAATTGCATCTAAACATCAAATGACAACTCTTCTACAACAAATACAATTTCTTAAACGACTTAATCATTGGAATGATTGATTTATATGATGTTTATTATTTTTTTTCTTCTTCTTCTTTTCTTTCACTGTGATCCTTTGAAAAATAAATATGTTATGTAGATCTATTTTTTTTTGTGTATAATAAATATAAGAATGATGAAAATAAGTTGATATGAAATCATAGTTATAAATTTTTTACTAAAAAAAGTTATTGGTTATATAATAAGAATGTTGTGAATATTAGTTAGTGTGAGCAGTAACTAAAACAATGATTAGAGATAAAAGATGTCATCATAAATACACTAAATATTTATGAAAAATTCAAATAAACTGATCACTCTTCAAAATTAAAAGCATGTTTGAAAATGTTTTTATCCGATGGATATCTCAAACTGTCGGCTATAAAATTTCTACAGAACGTTTCTTTGATACAACACAACATTCACACATCTATTTTGGCTATAATTTTCAGAAGTTTCAGAGAAGGTAGAGGCATATCTTCCACCGACGACATGTTCTAATAATATCATTCATTCCAATTTCAACCTATACTGATAAACAAATGATTAATTCAACGACTATAAACAAGTTGCCATAATTATAATGTTTATTCTTATTTCATGAGCAAATTAGTTTAGCAGTATCAAAATAGCTATAAAATTGTATTGGTTTCTTTTTTATTACTTGTTTCATTAGTTTTAATTTGTTTTTCCACTTTTCAGTTATTTCTGTGATGTTTTATAATAAAATATCGAAGAAAATCTAAATATAGCTGATCTATATCAATGATAAAAGTAAAGCATAAGAATTTTTCCTATTTTTTGAATAGAAAGAATCACAACACGAATAAATAAAATCATAATATAATTTTATCGAATGTATACGTATTTTACTACAAAAGCTCAAAATGCTAACCTCTATTCACACTCTTTTCCTGATACAAATCCTTAACGTTTCACTCTCATCCAGAGAACTTCATATTCTCATCTACTCCTGATCTATTCTAAACAAGATTGAAATTTTCAATTTCTCTCAATAATCTTCTGTACGTAAAATAATCCTTAACATTTATTTTTCTATTTTTTACAGACAAGCAAATTAACTGCTTTTAAATGATCAGTCATTTATCATCAATGAAAATATTATGCTAAACAAGTAAAATACGCAGTTACTTTAATATTTAACATAGACCTTCAACTTGTGAGGCAAGAAAAACAGAAAACAATCTATACTAACTATCTTTTATATTTCTACATGAAATCAGTCATACATATTTTTTTATTGCTATCTGTACATGTAAGATAATGACTTTTATTTACGTAGGTTTTTGAGAAGCCTTGTGTTACAGTCATATCTTCATATGCCTTCACACATTCTTCCACGTCATATCTGATTTTTCGTTATTCGCATTCTTTGTTGCTTTTGCTTTCTTTTTTCTGTTTTCGTTATTGATTCAAATAAAACACAACGTGAAGAGAAGCTGCTCTCATACATTGATATGGTTATTATAAACTGGAACATATGATTACTTCGATATTTAACAGTAGTTTTATATTTATTATAGCAGAACGATACAATACAACTAATTTTTAGTTCCCCAAGACTACACTATAAGATAAAAAAAATACAAATTCACCTTAAAAAATGAATTCATCCACTTTTTCCAATATTTTTTAGATTCAAAGCTGAATTATATATTACAGTTCATCTCAGAAATCAATTCAATTATTTATGCACCAATATCATAGTCAATTTATTTCTAAAAGAATTGTTTCAGAAACGATTGCTGTCAATCCTTCGATTATTTATAAACATAAATTTCGACTTTAATAAGATCAATGATCAAAAATTTCCGGCGAAGTATTTTACAGTTTTTCTCCTTCTCACATACCTTCGCGATGATATCGTCAATAAGTATTGTATTTTTATACAGTATCAGAAGAATTATCAATTGATTACACATAGAATCGATCACTCTGACTTTCGTTCTATAAAACAACGTGAATTTAATGTCAAACATTCTCTTTCTTGTAATATGAAGAAAAAAATAAAACACTGTAAACATTATATTTACTGACCATGGCAATAGTATGTATAAGATTTCCATAAATAATCAAATAATTGAATTTTTCTTTTTGTTAGAAATATTATTATAATAAAATGCTGATTGTCTTTCGGCAAAACACTCATGATTCAATTCGAGTTGGTGTATTTTTATTTTTGTGTGCTGAATACATAATTGTAATGCTAATTAGATCGCTTCTTTATTTACTTTATATAGGTTCAGGGTTTAGTACACTTTGCCGACATTTAAAGTTGAAGTAAAAAATATTAAGATTTATTGAGAGTACGGCGTCAAAAAATCTTTTCCAAATTCGGCTGTGTTATGGTTTAATTCATTGAGGGTGTAGATTTGAATGTGACACTATGTTATTTAATTCACTAGAACACCCACACCCACGATAAAGAATAAAAATAGCAGGTAAAGTGAGTATCCTGAGATTATCAAATGCATGATGTTTCTTTTCTATTGTTTAGACCCTACTGGGATTTGCGAAAGATGAGCTTGATCAAGGAGCAAAGACAGAAGATGCTCAACGTGATTATCAGAAATCTGTTACAACAAATAAAACACCAGAAGTTCAAAAATAGTACGCAGATAAAATGGTATGGGAAGAAAAAAAGTCCCATATTTGTGCATGCGCAACAAAGGATGCTGCGAACAAACACAATGAGCAAAAAAAAATTAACATATTTTATTCTATAAAAAGGACAGTAACTTCACCATTTTTCGCTGTTTCGTGATAACTTTCGTTGTTTCTTTTTGTCTAATGTTGTTTTGAAAGTATAAGAGATTTTTATAATTCATGCATTTAACTAATAAATAAAAAAATACTGGATAATCAACAGAATAATATGGTCATAAAATAAACGAAAAATGATAAATAAAACTTGAGTTACCAATAATATTCCCTTTCCTGAAAGAAAGGGTTATATCACGTTTAAATTATGGGCCTAAAATTGCTTAAAGTTTATCTGTCATTCTGTCTGTCTGTCCAAACCAATCAGATTGCGGCAAAGTTTTTAAGCCATACTTTTGTTTGGTTTTAAGTCCAAATAACCTCACCCCAGTTTTTTTTGGGTCGAGGAATTGGAATTAGATGTTAGATTTTTAAGAATTTTTTTATTTCAATTTTTTACTCAAAGGACCACTTTTTGCCGGAAAAAATGTTTTTTAACAAAGTTTGATCAAACATAATTGGGGTTGGAGAATCAGAATTTGAGGTCAGATTTTGGAAATATTTTTACCCCTCATTTTTCTACTCAAAGAATAGGTTTTTTACGAGAAAATTTTGGGGTGTAGTGAGTGTGAGTATCCACTTGTTAAACATGTGTTTAAAAACTATCTCTGGCAGATTCAGAAAAATCGGGTTCAAACGGGATCAGGACGAGTACCACTTTTAATACGCGAGAACGAAATCGAGATAAAGAAACCCTATCCCGCCGGACCCTAATTGATAATTATAGTCGGATTTTTTGGTAAAATTTAAATAAAAAGTTAAAAAAGGGAACAGCTATTGGAAATTCTGCTATTAGGTCGGCGTAGATACCAACTGTAGAATAACATTCAAAATAAAAGAAGATCTTTTCTATAGCATAATGTAATGTAGTTTATTCATAACAGCTTACAACATAGTTCTCCTTTGCTTAGTTGCATCTTGAGAATCATAGTATCAAATACTCAGTATTTTTCTAAGAGAAATCCACACAAAATGCTCTTCTTCACTTCAATGCTGAACTAATAGTGGAGGAAACAGTAGGATTAATCACGGAAACGGCTAGCTGTGAGTGGTCGACCGAAGGGAGGCCAACGAACGACTAGATGTTGGTTTGAAAGGTTTATTCTAAGTGTAATAAGTGAGATTTGATGTTTAATGAAAAATTGCTGGGTGATTCGGTTCTTGAGCTAATAATAAATCTTTACTACATATTTGACGTAACAAGACCTATTCAGTAAAGAACTTGTGAATGCAAACATGGCGTTGTTTGCTTGTTGTGGCGTGAGCTAGGATACATATGCAGTTGTACGACTCTAAAAAATTTAGGAGCTGTCCGGGATGATTTCATTTTAAATGAATATCTTTCTGTCGAATAATGATATTTCGAGGTGATCCCAAACATATCCCAGTTTGGTTGTGTTATTAAACTTGCTGGATACACTTTGGAAAGAGGATCAATTGTTTTCATAACATCAATTTTCCTGATGATTCGGAAATATTAAGGTTACTTTGCTCAGATTATTTTGTAAAGTGTAAGAATTCTCGAATATGCAGCATCACAACTCCTTAATCTCTTCGAATTAGGTCAGTTTTTCAACAATTGAGATATACGGCTGTGACTGATCGTTTATTTCTCAAATTAAAAATGAACCATGTTCGATTAAGGTTTTATGGTTGGTAGAACCTGTCCAGGTTCCATTTATTGACATGTATTCAAAATCAAGATTAATTTAATGATAAACATAGAAAATTTTCTTTCAGAAAGGGGTCAGCGAATCCATCGGATGAGCGTTACTTGTGAGTAGTTCTTTATGATGAAAAAAATCAATTCAACTATGAATTAGATTTTTAATGTTCTTAATGTAGTTTATTTTGATCAAAGGTTTTGAATTATGGTCGACCGAATATTTTGTATTTCAATTCACCGAGTCTCCTAACTATTCCGTAAAAAGCATCTGCCAAGTAAGTTTAGAAGGTTTCTCCTGTTCCGTGAATAAATCTGCTCACGTGGATTTATCGCTTTATATTACCACTTATTCATTGTGAAGTATACTGCTTCAGCAAGAAGTTTTTTTTCCTTTCTTCTTTTCTGTTTGTTGAGCCGTTCTCTCAATTTTTTTCTATATTTCTACATGTTTTTTGTTTGTCGTTGTGATATAATATCTTCATAGTAGCTATTATAAAGCTGAATCTGTATTTTTTAACGATTTTTCCTCTTCAATTATAATGTAACATCTTCAAAATACTTATTATAACACTACATCACCATATCCAAACAAGTCTGATAAAAAAGGAAAAAATTCGAACGACCTCTACTTACAATATTTATTGTTTATGATATAAGTATTTTTATCCTTTTTTTTGTTTATTTTCGTTTTTCCTCTTCTGTTTAATACAAAATAAAATTTAAAAAAATTATTATATTCTTTATTGAATAATAACTTTATGTATATCTATTTATTCAAATTATTTTTGTTGACTTGCAAAAGTGAAGAAAATGTTATTTTTTGAGCTTGTAGAGTTTTCACAATTCTTCGTCTTCATAAATTGTGAGTTTCCTAGGTGGTTAAATTTTTGGGAGTATTATGGATGCCCTCTGTTCTATGAATTTCGAATGTAGAGTTTATGTATTCTGCGTTTGTGATTTCTTATAATTGTAATATGGAGGAATGGTTCAATAATTATCTCACAAGCTTAGATCTTATGGATTCAAAAGATCAGTGAACAAAAGAAAACATATTGCAATGATATAAAATATATTCAAAACTTTAAGAGTATTTGCATTGATTTTGCTAAACAAAATGTATAAAGAAAGTAAAGACGTCATAAATATTATTGTTAATTTTCCAAATGGGCATAGTGACGATGCATTTTTTTTCCAAGAATAACGCAAATTTTTTACCATCCTTTTTTGTAATACAGTTTTCATTGACGATATAATTTTCATTATTCTGATTATAACAGACAAACATCATTGCGCAGCATATTTTTTTCTAATGATTCTTTGTAAAGAAAATCAAATTATCTTGAGATGGTTTTTGTGTTGTGCACACATTTTATATTATAGCAACGTAGAACAGAAAAAAGAAAGAATAGGCACCATGCTGTTGGACGGAATATATTTCATTTGAAGATAAACAATTATTAAAGTTACTTTTGAATGCTGAAAAGTAGTTTCACTTAATTGATTTATTTTATAAAACTTTTCTTATGTTGACATATGGAATTAAATCTAATATAAAGTAGTCTCATATTATAAATAAGTAAACTGATTTTTTTCACATAAAATACGATCGTCAGATATATGTATTTTAGTCCTCCGCCTGCACAGTAACTATCGAAAACAATCATCTTGCTAAATGTAATTTTTTTTAAAGTGAAGCTCTGCTACACAACCCTAGCAAAAAAATTCATGACTAGTTTTCCATCATACTGATGAAATAAAAAAAATATCTACGATGTGCGGAAAGAAAGATATAATGGTAATATGGAGGAATGGTTCCAGAATTATCTCACTAGTTTAGATCTTACGGATTCATAAACTCATGAACAATATATTCAAAACTCTAAAGAGTATTTGCATTTACTTTGTTAAATAAAATGTATAGAAAAAAGTAAAGACTTTATAAACATTATTGTTAATTTTTCTAACGGCATAGTAACGGTGTTTTTTTTTCTAACATCAGCAGATATTTGTTGCCATCCTTTTTTGTAATACACAGTTTTCTTTGACGATGCAGTTTAAATTATTCTGATTATAACAGACGAACAACGTTGCACAAAAGTTTCTTTCTAACGTTTCTTTATAAAGAAAACCAAACTATCTTAAAATAACTTTTGTGCTATGCACATATTTTATATTATAGCAACGTAAAATTGATAAAAAAGAACAGACATCATTCTATTGGACGAGACATATTTTATTTGACGAGGAATGTCTGATTATTTTTAAAGATGAAGAATTATTGAAGTTACTTTAGAGTACTGAAAAATAGTTTCACTTAGTTGATTTGTTTGATAAAATGTTTCTTATGTTGATATATGGAATTAAATTTAAAATACAGTGGTCTCATATTATGAATAGATAAAGTGATCATTGTTTCCACATAGAACAAGATTTTAAGATATACGTATTTTTGTTTTCCGTCTGCACATAAACTACGCAAAAAATCATCATACTAGACGCATGACTTGTTCAAAGTTAACCTCGACTACACAATTCTGACAAAAAAATGCAAACGTTTTTTTCCATCATTCTGCTGAAATAAAAAAATATCTATGATGTTGGCAAAAAAGAGAAAAAAGAAAAAGAGAGAGAAACTGAAAGGTATTTAATGCTATGTCTTCACAATACATTTCATTTACAGTTAAATTTATTTCTTTATTAACATTCTTGTTGGTTATGATGTGGAGAAGGAATCTTTTATTTCTTCTGTTTCTTTTCTTTACACAATCAGACACCCAAGATATAAGATCATTTCATTTATCTGAAATGGATGGCTGGCAATTCCAATGTTCTAACACAACTTGCTTACCATTTGCCACTTTCAGTGTGTCGAGCATTGACAACTGTGAAATGGCGTGTTTAGCTGAAGTCCATTGTAAAGCATTTAGTTTTCATAAATCATCCTCTAATTGTGAATTATTTGCTGATATAACAAACCAAAATGGCAATCTGGTGATCAACACGGACACTGTTACTATGATTGTTATGGATGGAACACGAATTCCACTTGGTAAGTGTAACCACGGTTATTTAGGAAAAAAAATATTAAAGAGAAAAAACTCTTTTTCTTTTTTACATTGATCGAACAAAACGATTCATAAAATCTCCTACTAGCTGTATATTACGTATCACGAGCAGTATATTCATAGAGTTACTTATAGAATAGTACAAACGATATTATAATCACAAAAAACTCAATAGACTACCTCTTTATAGCCTGACCTAGTCCTATCTCTTAGGAATCGATCAACTAGCTCAAGCTTCAAAATGAGTTCATGCCGGAAATGAATTACAAAGTAATTCAAAACTTTCATACATTGTTTGCGATTGAGGAAGAATGTAGATATTTTTAGTTAAATAATTTTCTTTCTAATTAATATATTTATTATTTAAAAATTAAAATCTGATGTTGCGAACAACTATGTTATTCTTCAACAGAAGTGATGATACATTTTTAAGACAGATATCTTGTTTATTTTATTTATATACGTTTCTTTTCTTTTTATTTAATAGTGGTACGACCGATATGTACTTCACCTTATCGTACCAGACTATTACCATCTTGTCCGTACCACTATTAAATGAAAAGAAAAGGAACGTATATAAATAAGATAAATAAGATATCTATCTTTAAAATGCACCATCACTTCTGACGAAGAATAACATTGCTGTTCGAAACGTCAGATTTTAATTTTAGATAATAAATATACTAATCAGGAAGAGAATAATTTAAGTAAAAACTGTCATACATTGTATATATGATATGTGTATATTATGTATAAACCTATTTTACATATATATAGATGTGTATGTACATATATATTTACGTAGTTAGTACTAGAACTTAGTAAGTAGTAGGGTCTAGTAGTGACTACCATGACCAGTAGCTCTGCTCTCAGCCACATCGAGATGAAACACCCTGGAGAATACAAGAGATTCATCCACAAGCTCACTTCCACATCCTGGTAGTGCCTGGCACCATCTAGTTTCCCTACTGTATCTGGTATCCCTATTGTCTCTAGTATCCCTGTCAACAGCAACATCACCAGCAGCAGCAACATCACCAGCAGCAATAACAACTCCAACATCAGCAACATCACCAGCAGTAACAATAACTCCAACAGCAGCAACAACACCACCAGCCACAACAACACCAGCAGCAACAACAATAGCAGCAGCAACATCATCAGTAGCAGGAACAACACCACCAGCAGCAGCAGCAACATCAAAAGCAGCAGCAGCAACAACACCAGCAGCGGCAATATCACCGGCAACATCACCAGCAGCAGGAACAACACCAACGGCAGCAACAACAACACCAGCAGCAGCGGCAACATCACCGGCAACAGCACTAGCAACAACACCAGCGGCAGCAACAACTCCAGCAGCAACATCAGAAGCAGCAGCAGCAACAGCAACAACACCAGCAGCACTAACATCATCCACGTCGTCAACAACATCAACCACTTCATCATCGACATCATCTACTTCATCATCAACATCAACATCAACATCAACATCATCATCCACAACATCAACAACAACAGCTGGTCAGTAATATGCTAGATAATGTATTGTACTTTTTTGTGGCTTTCAGACCGAGGATTACTTCCACTAACCAAAAAACGTTTGAGATTTTACTGTTCAAATGTTTATCACTTCGATGAACAAATAATAATCGTGTAGAGATTCGCTCAGTTGTCTCTTGTAAGAGTGTTATTTTTTGACTTAACAATTTGTAGTCATCATGCTGATGCTAGAGACGTTCACTGCAAGAGCCGACATTTAAAAAAACTGACGTTGACTCGGACATGTCACCGATGATTACTTTTTTAGAAAAAAATGTCAATAGTAAAATAGCACTAGAGTATAGTAGCATAACGAGGATTTTATCAGCAAGAACTAAGCCTCATTGTTGTTGCCTTTCCTTCGGTTGCTCGTAGCCGATCCGTATTTAGTCTTCTCCACCTGTGGCCTTCATTTTTTCTCTCGAAATGGCTTTCGGTCAATCAGTAGGGGCGGCAAGGAGTCTATTGTATGCTGTACTTATAAACCGGGCTAAGTACTAAAAGTTTTATTGATTGTGACTTGGGTTCTTCCATAATCATCATTGGTGGAGACCTGTTTTGCGTGTATAAAGTCACGAGAGAACAGTAGTTGAATCTGAGAAGTACCTTCATTTGAAGATTAAGTATTAGAGAACACAACTTACAATAAATAAAACGTATAATGCTTAGTTTGGTTTAATGGTACAACACTATTAGACTCTGATATAACTCCGCTTTTAACTCCGTGCATACTTATGCCAAACATTCAAAAACGGACCAGCAATAATGTAAGTAGATAACTTATTTATGTGGAGCTGTTCTCAGCAAGAACGAGAATAGGGTGTGGGTGCACAGATCACTGTAAAATACTCGGAAAGTAGAATTTAGAATTTTGTAGAAATATTGTTGGTTTATGTAACACAGAATCAGCATATTGTTTATAAAATTTCATATCATAATGCATTTGTAAAAAAGGAATGATATATATGTTGAAATGAAATTCTGAACAAATGTACGGCATTCTGAGTTCTGCTTGGAAAGTATTCCGAGTCCTCTTAGTCGAGGGTATCATGAGTCTTTATTAAAGGGAGCGCAAGTTTTAAGTGGAGTGAGATGACTTCGTTGATTTTTCAGATTTACGAGAAGGTTTCACATAGAGATGGACAGAATGACTGACAACTGACTTTAGTTATGGTCTAGAATATCTGAAATTGCCCAAAATCCAGTCACATGATCTTTTCGAATAAATTATGTTCAGTTAAGTTAAACTCTCAAAGATTGAATAAAATACGACGAGTGAATACTGTCTACATGGCAGTACAGATGTGAGAACAAACCTTTTGTATTTAATAGGCTGCAGTATGTTTCTGAATCAAACTACTTACTCAGTTGGCAATACTCCATTTTCAGTAGCAGTCGTCGATGTGAATAGCGACAGTAAACCCGATCTTGTTGTTGCAAACGGTGGCTCGAGCAACATCGGCGTTCTTCTCAACACAGGCAACGGCACCTTTAAAGCTCAAACTACTTACGCAGTTGGTACTAACCCATGGTCAGTAGCAGTCGCCGATGTGAATAGCGACAATAAACCCGATCTTGTTGTTGCAAACAAGGGTTCGGCCACCGTCGGTGTTCTTCTCAACACAGGCAATGGCACCTTTAAAGCTCAAACTACTTACGCAGTTGGTAGTAGTCCATATTCAGTAGCAATCGTCGATGTGAATAGCGACAATAAGCCCGATATTGTTGTTGCAAACTATGATTCAGCCACCGTCGGTGTTCTTCTCAACACAGGCAATGGCACCTTTAAAGTTCAAACTACTTACGCAGTTGGCAATACTCCATTTTCAGTAGCAATCGTCGATGTGAATAGCGACAATAAACCTGATATTACTGTGGTAAACAGTGATCCGAATACCGTCGGCGTTCTTCTCAACACAGGCAATGGCATTTTTAATGCTCAAACTACTTACGCAGTTGGTACTAACCCACGGTCAGTAGCAGTCGTCGATGTGAATAGCGACAATAAGCCCGATCTTGTTGTTGCAAACGCTGGTTCGAGCAACATCGGCGTTCTTCTCAACACAGGCAATGGCACCTTTAATGCTCAAATTACTTACGCAGTTGGTAGTAGTCCATATTCAGTAGCAGTCGTCGATGTGAATAGCGATAATAAACCCGATATTGTTGTTGCAAACGAGGGTTCGGTCACCGTCGGTGTTCTTCTCAACACAGGCAATGGCACCTTTAATGCTCAAATTACTTACGCAGTTGGTAATGGCCCATATTCAGTAGCAGTCGTCGATGTGAATAGCGACAATAAACCCGATATTGTTGTTGCAAACTATAGTTCGAACACCACCAGTGTTCTCTTACATTGCTGATGCTTATCGACGACTAACCTTTACCTATCCATTAACACTTTACTAGACTACTAGTTACATTACTCTTATAAAACATTACACAGTACAAACTAACATTTATCGTTACTCTATATTAAGAATTTCAACAAGACTTTGTGAACAAGGTCGTCACCTCTTCTGCTTTTTTGTCTGTCGTTCATGCTTTTTCAATTTTTTTCTGCTTCTTAAAATATTATCTGCTTGTCATTTTTAACTCAATTTCAGTTTTAATATATCATTATTGCACACATATCCGACGAATTCTTAGTGATGTATAATGAAATTAATAAGATGGCGATCTCGGATTTTCAGCGGTTAATAAAAACGGTCAATATATACCCCACTTACAGAGACCGTTCTTTACCAATATCTTTCTTTCTGAAATATTTTCTAATCATCATCCAAATCTTCCAAATCATTGTACATAATCTTCTGTGTATTGATCGTTGTGGGTTAAGAATATAATACGCTATAATATTTGTACTTATCAGAAACAAATGACTGATGCTAATGATAACCATATTGATAATGACGAAGATAATGAAGCATCGGTAATAATCGAGTCACAAATATAATTCAGTGATAGTTTGTAGAAACCGGCTTTAAAATCTAGAGAAATCCATTTGAAACTATCTGCAAATCCGCAGAAATTTGTCGTTACATTTTCAACAACTCAAGGGAGGTAATTTCCACCACTAGCACTGCACTTCCCTTCAATATTTAGAATACGGGTTAAAACTCTTTAAAGACAAAACTTTAACAGCTCAATTAAAGTCCAAATTTCCTAAGAAGAGCTGGGCTCCCCCGGTGATTCCGTCACTACAAACGAATGAAAAAAACTGGTAAAAGAGAACTGTTTTGTACATCATTTTCTACAATATTCGTCATAGAAGTGACCGAAAATGAAGAGAAACATAAGTATATAGTAGAAGAAACGCACGGTAGATAAATTTTATCTACTCTTTTTATAATAAAAAAAATGCGGTACAAGGTTCTATATTGTGTTTTTCACATTTCAGAATAATTAAAAAAGAAAAAAAAAGCGAAAGTTAGGATCTGTTTTCTTCTAGCAAATGTTTTACAGCTGATGATCGATAATGAATCAGCTAGATAAATTAGTATCACTTGTACTTTGAAAATATATAAATTCGACCCCATTTTAGGATAACTGTGACAGCTTTAAAATCGTGCTTTCTATACCGAGGTGAAAATATTTATTAAAGATATTAACAGATTTTTTTTTGTGATCTTTAACGAGTATTATTAGATATGATAATCGATTATGAAATTTCTGATATGTTTATTATAGGTTAGAATGTACTGTATACAACTATAAAAATCATCTATTTTATTGTATGTCATTTTTGAAGCACGTGTAATTGCGATAAAAACATCAGAATCGTGACTCATGTATGTCGTCTGACGACACTCTTCTTACTGAAATTTTGTTTTTCCTCTTTTAACATGGTATAAAATTAATTTTGTATACTGAGGTTTAATTCATTTCTAACGTTATAAAAATATAATTTGGTATTAATGGTTAAAGCTGAAGATATTACTATTGAATTAATTTCATTTGGTCATTCATTTGGTGTTTCACAAAATATTGCTTTATTGTATTCAATGCGTCATTTCCCAACAACTCAGTGGCGGCGGAGCGTGGAGGCTCAAGAGGCTTAAGCCTCACTTGGATTTCAGTCGTGGAGGCTCAGCCTCACTTATTTTCGGATTGAATATTATCTTTTATTATTAAAATTTGTTATGTGCGGCATCTAACATAACTAGATATATATTCTGACATATCTTATATCTACCTTTTAATGCGGTTCACCTATTTTTTATATGTTTTTCTTTCGTCTATTCTTTTACCGCATAGATATCACATACAGCTTACATATATATATATATATATATATATATATCCTGTATGTTTCTTTTCTTTTACTTGGATATTTCCCCTGTCTATATGATACTCAAGTATTTTTCCTCTTTTCTTACATTTTTTCTTGTCCGCATGATTAATTTTTCCTCATTTCGTCTATATATGTTTTATTCCCAGAACATTTGTTTTTTTCAAGCGCATATACACATACACATACACATACACGTATATATATATATTATTGTGGGAATAAAGAAGTAGCTCAGTAGTGATCGGATTGATTTATATCCTCTTCACATCGTATTTAATGGCTGAAAAACGTCCAAGAATTCATCCATTTTTCTTTTTGACACACATATACAAAGAAAAGTCTCTGTTCAACTTTCGCGTCGAAGAACGAACAGAGAAAGTTATTTTTTGGTACGTTCTGATTCGTTTTATTTTCACGATGACCGTTGTAGTTTTTATTGAGGTCTAATAAAAAGAAGACTTATATTTTGCTTCATATTTTGATAAAAGTTCACAGTAGAAAAAAATATTGTGAGCCTCACTTAGGTTAATGACGCTCCGCCGCCCCTGCAACAACTAATAGTGAAAACTATCAACAATACGATGGACGACATAAACGAATACAAAATGAATTATTAAATTTAGTTGAATATAAAGATATAATTAAAATGATTACAGAACAACTATCAATTTTAATCCATAATCAAAAGAAAAATTCAATAAAACTAGCAGCTGGATATGAACAAGGTCAACATCGATCAGTAGCTGTTATTGAACGACTGGTTGAATTGTTAAAAGTAAGTTATAATGTGGAAGTAGATCATCGAGATTTACAAAGAACAAGATATGACGAGAAGAAACAAAAAGAAAGAACATAAAATAGAGACAAAAAATATACTAATTATGATGAAAATAATTAAATAGATTTTTGATGTAGTGTTTTAGCTGTAATATTATTATGAGAACTTTTTTTTATGACGATATATAAGCTTTTGAAATAAAAACTGATCTAATTTAATAATACAACCACACCCACCCTCAAGATGGTTTTGATAATTCTAAAAGACGAAAAGTTCATAATGCTTTCATTTATTTCTTAATTTCCAAAAATCATATGAACAAAATTTATCCTTTTTTCTTTATATTTTTATTAATTAATCCATAAATCCCTAGTCATAGAGCTTTTCGACTAAGGCTGCAAGGCCTTGATTAACAGCTTCTTGTGCAAATAAAGGAATATCTTCTAATCGACCATCATGAATTAATTGAAAAATATTTCGAAAATGTGCTAGATCACCTGATGACATAAATGTTTTTTCAGCAAAACTATGAATACTTTTCGACACTAAAAAATAATAACTATCTTTTATTAGCAAAAATAAAAAAAAATCTTACCAGAAAATGCTGATGATAATGTATCAAACCAAAATATTTTATTTTCATCAATACTTTTCGAAAGTTTTTCGCCAAACAGAAATGTATATGCAGCATGAAGAAAATTTTCAATATTTTCCTTTGCTAGACGTTTAGCTGCAATACATGTTTCTTCATTTTCATCAAGACTATCGGGACAATCACCTGGATGATCATCACAAATAAATTGGAGAGCAATACATTGTTGACTTTGAGGACATTGAAATGGTTTCGATGGATCAATACATCCTAAATAAAAATAAACAATAGATTCAAGAAGAATATAATAGTAATAATATTTAACCTTTAAATGGAATAACGGGATGTAGAACATTGAATAATGATGATGTAGCACGATTTCTATTTGAACCAATCACTCGTTTATGATCAAACCATCATTTTAATAAATTATTAGAATTAGTTAACCAATGTGATTGAAAACCTTCAGTATATGGTCGAACAAAATGTGCATTAGGAGTTACTTCAACAATAGCTGTTAGGAAGAAGAAGAGAAGGATAATAAGTAATGATGAAATAGACTTCGTCATAATCGTTGTACTGTTGAATGGTGTTGTCAGTTCTATTATGGTGAAAGATGAGAAAAAGAAAAACAAATGTTTAAAGTTAGCAATAAAAACAAAAGGTAAACTTTTCTAGAGACATATGCATAATTCTAGATTTTTTCTATTTATATTGATCAGATCTCGTACACATATAAATAGATAATATTTTCTATTCAAAATATTACATGATTATTATCTAAAATATAAATGAATACGATAAATTATTTATTTCAAAATGTTACAATTCAATAAAATATCTAATATTAGATTTAAAATTACAATCGTTGTCTTTCAAATAAATAAAAGAAATCGTATAAAAATTTACTTGATATAGTTATTAATAAGAGAAATAACTAAAACATTTTTTTGCTAATGCATTAAATGGTAGTATAGCTCGGAGACATAAACAAAAAATCTATCTACTATAGGAACTAATCAGTAGAGTACTTGTTTTGTTTTTGTGTTAAGTTTGCTGTGATACATTTTACGTTGGCAGATGAACATGGACATGATTATGATTAATGAAGTACTTTTTGTGTTTATCTCAACAATAGATTATAATAAACGATAAAAAATAGAATATTCATTCAGCCAATGTAATCTCATAATCATAAATTTGTACTTTTAGTTGTCAGAAAACAAAAATAGGCGTACGCATATAAATAATTCTCATAATGTGTTGTTATAAAATTTGTATACGGAAAATAATTGATTTTTCCTAAAAAATCCCTAATATTATTAATAAAGATACTCATAGGAAAAATAAAAACAAAGGTGAGTAATTATAGCTATAATTTTCCTTCAGAAAGTACGTAATTAGTAATAATTGTTAATACTACATGAATCTTACATTAATATAACCATTACGATCACCAAATGATGAAAACCAGATTTTCATTTTCTAAATGAGAAACATATTGAACTCAATAAGCGTTGTCACAATAGATGTCTAAAAATAGTACGTGAACGTATAGTGTATTTGTTGTTTTATTGAATAAAAAGTAGACCACTAAAGGAAACGAACTATTTAATCGATTGAAAGTTTTTATCTTCAAATTCTATTCGATTAGAAATAAAATCAAGTAGACAAATTAATATAGGTGAGTACCCTAGTCGAACATCTTATAAGCAAGATCTTGGCCAAGATGTTAGGAACAGATAAGTGAACAGATCTTGAAAAAATAGGTACAGATAATTTGATTATCTTGTACACAAGATCTGTGACTAGATCTTAGGTACAGATAGTTAAGATCTTATGTACACGTTGTTAATATCTTATGTATAGCCTGTTAAGATCTTGGTAACAGATATTTGAAATCTTGAGCATAAGATCTTGTAATGAATGATATTTTCGTTTTACCTCGGCAAGATCTTCAGATCTTGTGCTAATATATTTAAATTTAAGACCTACATGAACATACAATAACACACGTGAACATCAAATACAATTACAAACTTCAGAAAAAAACGTAATAAAATATAAACACCATAACAACTGTTTTTAATTCACAATCATCTGTATAAACACAAATCATTCAGAAGTACACGAAATACAAGATAAAAAATAATAAAAATAAATTTGAATCAGCTTCATCATATAATTCAGCATCAGACGATGATGATGAAAATGAAACGGCTTGAACAACAGTAACAACGGCATCGTTATCTGAAATATCGCTAGCTACTGGATCCAGTGAATTAGAGATATCCATAAGATCATCATCTTCGTCTTCGTGTTCATTATTTTGAAGCATCCTAAATACTTCACTTTCATTGCGTGCCAAGCGGTATTAACGCGTACATTATCTTGTTCGTTGAGTCGTACTTTTCGAACAAAGTTTATTGTTTATATCTAAAATTAATAATATGCAGAAATAAAATTAAACTAAAACGAGTAAATAACAGTAACTAATTATTTTAAAACAAATGACATACATGTCTAAAAATGCGTAGTTTATTTCAACAACTCGATATACTAGCATAGATTGATAATGTACATGTTAATCGAATTGATCATTTTTTTTAGTATTAAAACTGACGCAAGTAAACTTCAGTAAATTTCTAAAAAACAAATATAATTATTCAAAAATTATTTCATAAAAACTTCTAATTTAAGTCTCTTCATTCTCATCATTGTCATAAAAAATTTCATTTTTACAATTGCAAAATATTTCGTTCGTCGAAAAAAATCATGATTAATATATTTAAGAAGAACCAATATATCATCATTAATCGATACATAATTATTTAAATAAGCTTTTTCATGCTTATATGAGATAAAGACTTGGCCGTTATAACGTTTGTTATCTTTATGTTCATTCTTTGTTTTTATTGGTTCATATGTATGAGGACTGTAAAAAAGCTTTTTTTATTTTTTTTTTCTGTTCTGTTATGATTTATGAATATTTTTAATAAAATAATTCAAATATATGAATTATTTTTTTCTATTAATGATGTCGCTTTAGTTTATTCAAGATCTTGGTGCAAGATAATTACAGTTTAACTTTTTTCCACTCTTCTGACAGTTTTGATATCTTGAGTAAAGATCTTGATAAGATCTGTGGTACAAGATAATTACAATTTAACTATTCTTCATGTCTTCTGAAAAGCTTGATATCTTGAGGAAAGATCTTAATAAGATCTGTGTTACAGATACGTAAGATATGATCAAGATATGCTTTCTCAAAAAAAAGAAATTATCTTTTTAAGATCTTGGCAAGATCTTACTTACGAATTTCAAGATTTCCAGATCTTACTTACAAGATGTTCGACTAGGGTAGCAGTCTCGGCTAGAGAGTAGAAAATTTAAGAGCTTACACAGACATATTTGTGATTCCAGTGAGACTGTAGAATTCAAATTATTCTTTTAGTCTTACTTTGACTTGTAATTGAATAATAAAATCAGAAATACTACCGTACCTAAAATAATTGTTCTATAAATATTACTTTCATAAGTAGGAGTAAAGAACATTTAGCTTTTATAATTTCCCTGTTGATAAGCGTGATAAATCGCCTACATGGGAATCTATGTAAAAATTATCTTTTTTCCCTATTTCAATGATAAAATAATTTTTGATTTGGTTAAATTTTCTTTTGCGTTTTTAATAACAAAAAAAAGGGGTGTGGGTGTGGGTGTGGGTGTGGGTGTGGGTGTGGGTTTGTTGTCTATCTACATTACTCACAGTGTTACCTACACTCACTCTCACGATTCAAAATCTGTTTCACTTTGAGATTTGCCACGCTCTCTCTTTTTTTTAATTAGTAATAATGGATACTTCTACAGGGAGTTCAACATGTACATATATACAATTTGTATATGCACTTAAAGTGTGAAAGAAACGAAAACAAATACGTCTTAACACTGTCGTGCAGAAGAGAGAAGTGATTATATTTACTGACCATGGCAATAGTACGTATAAGATTTCCATAAATAATCAAATAATTGAATTTTTCTTTTTGTTAGAAATATTATTGTAATAAAATGCTGATTGTCCTTCGACAAAACACTCATGATTCAATTCGGATTGCTGTCTTTTTATTTTTGTGTGCCGTATATATCGTTGTAATGCTAGTTAGATCGTTTCTTTATTTACTTTATATTGGCGCATTACCAAGAAGAGGAAACCCAACAACATCTAATATTAACAATAATTGTCATGTATTAAGATATATACATTATTATCGGATGTTATCCATGATCATTACTAATTTAAGCATTGCATTATACGGAATCATGATCGACTCTTTATCTAAATCTCCGTATAGAATAATTTAAGTATTATCTCATCAACTTTGTGACTTTTGTTTCCTTTAAAAAAAAGAAGCATTACCATTTACGATGGATTCTTCTTCTCTCAATAACATCATTGTTTGAATATTTTCTGGTAATATGCCCTAGCCGAAGTTTTTTTCAAACGCTCGGTAAGACTTAACCTCAAAATGTGTCCATAGCATATGACATTCTTGCTCAAGAAACTTAAGAATCTCATGTGCTACCAAAAAAAAAGTTCGGCTGAGGTGCTGAACTCGTTTTAAAAATCCAGCTAGTACAAAATGTATTGTTTCATTTGTATTCTTTTTTAGATATTAGCATCACAATCGATTAATTAAAATAAAAAATACATAATAAATAAATAAAGACAAATAATAAAAGATATAATAAATTAGATTAAATCTTGATAGAATCCGATGGTGAGAGATTAAAAATTTACCTAGTCACACGCTCATTTTCAAACTTTTCATCATCATCTAAACTGCCAAGTTTTTTTCATTAATTATTTCTCTTCAAAGCAGAGTTGGGAAAAGTACTCGAATTACTCGTACTCGAATGGATTATTATTTGTACTCGAGGATATGATCTTGGAGTTCCTGATTATGTCTCATAAAAAGTTACTATGTGATTATATGCTCCATGGATGACATAAATTCCTAAATCATCACTTTTTTACGAGAATATTAAAAAATCTGAGGGGGCTCGAATGATTTCTGAGGGGCTGAGCCCCCGCCAGCCCCCCCCCCTAGCGCCTCCACTACATACAATGTTTTTTAATAACGTTCGATTGAAGCTGCTGAACTTCGGCAACAAGTGAGGACTGTTCGGATTGTCTGATAGAACGGCATTGTGATGATAATTTTAATTTGAGCTCAAAATAAATGATCAGGTGTACAGAGTGAAAAGCTGAAAACTTTCCGCTTTAAATGAATGTGATAAAAAAGAGTACATAAAAAGAAGAAAAATCACAGTTATGCTAATGCGATCGATAAGCATCCATCCAAAGTCAGTCGACATTCTTTACTTCCTCTAATAAGTTCAAGGTTCACAAATCATAGAATCGAAGCTCCCAAGGATTTTCAGTTTTAACTACAAGACATCGCTCATTAATCAAAGTTGTCGAAACTATTAATCGGCCATTGTTATCATAGTCAATTTCTTCCTTTAGCTGCCCATTTGAATCGATTAGATAAAACTTTTTCTTAATAACAGTGTTTACGAGAAATTCTTCATTAGGCAAGGCTAAAAGCCAAGCAATTGCGGAGAAATCAGTACCCATTTGTACAGTTTGTAGAACAGCCATATCATTCGGTCTTCGTAATTCAAAAGAAAAATGTCGATCAAGACTTCCTTCAGAAATAACGACTCCCACATGGCTTCCGTTGCTGGTGAACCGTATGCGAGAAATCGTCTGAGTTGCCTTCCACGATTGTGGTGGTGAAAATGTTTTTTTGAGAAGCCAAGTTGGAAGTTCGTATTCTTCGATTAAAGATTTCTGATAAACTATTAGGCACGTTTTATCGTAACAAGTAATACACCGTCCGAATCCATTATCCGATTCAGTTGTTTGAATATCTTCGACACCTACTTCCAGATCTAAACCATAACGGCCTATTTTTCCGAGAATAAGAAATTTATTTAAATACGACGACCAACAAATGTCATAGGGATCGATAAATTTGTTAAGCTTCAATCTTTCATTTCCATTTCGATCAATAACGACGAGGATTTGCTTCGCAAAATAAACTAGAAATCTTTCATTTGCAGCCATCGCCGCGTGACCGTTTTCGATCTCAAAATTCCGAGACGGTTCTCTTATAAGAAGATTAAAATTTAAAGATGTGGGAGGAGATATATCAGTGGATATTGGGACTGAATTAACATCGGGAAAACGTTCGTTCGATAATGTATCACTTGTTGCCATAATGGGAAAAATATACTACTTGTGAGATGTATTGAAGCGGAAGGAGAGAGGCAATAAACAGGATCTTTATAAAACACAGTCCAAAAATATTTTTTTCACTGCTTTTATCAGTAAAAAGGTGTATTGACAAAGTGTCACAAGAATAATAAAGTCATTCCTCTTTCTCTTCCTCCAGTGTGCAAATAGATATTTTTGCCTCTTTGATATAAAATACATGCAGAGGTCGTTTCTCCACGCCACTGGTAATACATAGCAAATTTTTAGTTCCTTCCATCTTTCTTGTTTATTGGCTCTTCGAATAAAAATATAATTTGGAAATAGTTTCGTATTACAGACACTCATGATATTATGGGTATAGGTGTAGATGTGGGTGCGGGTGTTCTCTCTTCATCCCACACGCACACTTTCAAGAAAAAACTTTAATTGTTTTTCTTCGTTCTTAAAGCAAAAATGAATTTTTAGTCTCTATAATCTAGTTTATTGAACGATAACAATTCATACAATGTTTTAATAGGTAAACAAGAAACATAAAATTAATTCATATCATATTATAATAATATTAACATAAATAATAACAAAATCTATTATCGATCTATAATAATATTATTTGTATTGGTGAGCAAATTTCATCGAATGATTTCTCTAAGATATTTGAAATATTACAAAGTTTGTTGTAGTTAATCAGTTCAAATCATTAGTGGTTTAATAAATTTCTGAATGTATCGAATAATATATGTGATATCTAACATTTGTAAAGTCTTATCTGTTCCACTTGCGTGCATTTTAGAAATACGGGTTTTATTTTTAACAATTCTTCGTATCTGAGTAGGGTGTGAGTGTTGGAGTTAGTCTTTTATTAACTCACACCTACACCGTTAAGTTTTACTGAAAAACGATCGTTGTCTAAGAAATTGCAAAGAGACAATCGTTCTTTGACTGTTAACACTGTTCTCTCTTTTAGTTTCCACTTAAGCAACACAAAATATTTATACAACAACTATAGATGAGTTTCTACTAAAATAATTACTAAACAAATAGCTTCAATGAATAGTATCGATTATCTTATCAACGACAGTAATAAAAAATACAGCAGGTTAGGTGAATTCTTTTCTGTTTCATTCAGTTCTTATCGACACCTACACTTTTATGATGAGAATGAGTCATCAGTTCTATGTTTATAGATAATGTTTTCTTTGATTTCTGTTAGTCATCTATTTCTTGTTTTTTCTCTTGACACTACTCTTCGATCGTTCTATTTTTCTACCATAATATAAATGACGTTAGAGAATATTTGACGCCTTCATTACAGAATGAACGAAAGATAACACATTATCAAGAGAGATGTTATGTGAACTTTAAGAAAAGAATATTTTTGTACATCATAATGTTATACAAAGAAATTATAGGAAGACTTTAATTAATCGGAAAAGCCATTACATGTGGTGGTGTGATAACTAAAAATGCGATAGATCGTATTTAACTGAACTTCGAATATTTTTCAATTTCAAGGATATCTTGGTCGTTGTGTTTATTATCATAAGAAATAAACAAAATAGAATTGTTTTTTATGTCGTTTTGAAGATGGGTATAGTACAGCAAACATCATTATTGAAAAACATGTTTAATAAATATGGTGAATTAGTAAAAGCTAAAAATGAGAAGCAGAATAAGAAGAATTACTTATATATCATAATTAATAAAATATCAAACGCTGTTAAAAGTTACGGTGTAAGTGTATTCTAGTTATGCACACATCCTCATCAAGAATCAACGAAATGCTCTTAGCCTTTATCTATATGATCAACTGAACATATTTAAAAAGACGAATATGAAAATCTTTGAACTTTGCCAGTATCGACTCGAGAACTAAAGAATCTAGTAAGATATACACAAATTAATAACAGCTTTCAGTAAAAATAATACTATCGATTACCTAAAATCTGATCGGATGGTGTATAGAACAGATGGTCTTGTGGAATTATTTATTCTTCTTCAAAAGATTTTTATCATCAATAAAAGGATGTCAATGCAAATGTTATACTCATAACTAATAGAACATATACACTTACATTTCTTATTTGGTTGGCGATAGACACGAAATATAAAAAATGCGCATTCTAACTTAATTGAATGTTATTAGAATGTAGGACAGAATTTAATAATCAGATGTTGTCAAGAGTAGTGCTCTTGAATTACAATTAGTGTAGAAAGAAAAATATTATTTCGAATGTTATCAAAATATGAACTTTCGTTTGATTGATTCTTGTTCTTGCAGATGACATGGAGGAAATAGGAAACAACGTTTTCTAACCAATGTAAATATAGATTATAGATCAGAACAAAAAATATAATACTCTATAATCTCTTTCCTCTTCCAACACCTATAAAATGGCATTATATTTCCAATTTGACGGCATAAGAAAAGAGGAGGTTACAATTTTCCTGGAAGAATGAATAATTACGATAATATTGATCTTGAAATGGAAGAATCATTGTCAGTACGAGTAGAAGAACCAATTCGTCGTAAGAAAAACACCGTATATTTATGGCTTCGACGAATCTTTACTTTGGATGATGAACTAAATGAAAAGCATTATTATCCAATATTTATCATCTTTGTATCTGTTTTACATATTTCCATTCATCTCTTGAGATACATCAGCAGTCGTTCGAAAGATCCAAGCTTATCTCGTTTATTATATGATGGTGGAAAGCGTTACCTTCCATGTATGCGACCAGCATCTGATGATATTCGTCTGCGTAAAGTCGCATGTGGATTACTGTATCGAAATATTACATGTAACTATGATGATATTCTTAGAAAGAAGTGTTTCTCTTTCATGTATCCACATCAATTATGGCGAATGATAACTTCTAATCTGCTTCATGTGGACTGGTCACACTTAAAAAATAATGTGTCGTTACAACTTCTGTATGGAATTCCACTCGAACGTAAATATGGTTCAATTCGTATAGTTATTATCTACTGGCTTTGTACTTTGAGTGCTAGTCTAGCTTTTACGATGTTACGTAGAATCGCAAGTAAGTAGAAAGTTAAGTAAATTAAAAAATTCATGATCTCGAACATCAGATGACTGTTGATTTTGATCAGGATTATTTTCATAGATTCAGAAAATATGATAGTCGAAGATTGCATACCGAGTTTATAACTTTCGTTATTTTTTTAGTCGGTATTGGAGCTTCTGGTGCTGTATATGGTCTACAGTTTTTCTTCATTATGGAGCGTCTTATGGCAATCAAAACGAACACCGATCAACGTCGTCGTCTTTTTATAGTCATACAATTGCTCCTAATGGTTGTAGTTCCGAAGCGTATTGCGATATTCACAATGAATTATCGTAAGGTTAGTATAGGACATGCAGCTCATTTTGGTGGTGGTTTGATGGGTTTTCTTTTGGGTATCGGTATGTTTGGTTGTCCATGGCCATGGAATAATGAAAACTGTATTTCTCAACGAATATGTCGACGACTAACAATTGTTTTTGTTTTTCTCTACTTTCTTATGACTGTAACGATTTTTTTTCTAAGAGATGCTCCATCGATGGAGAGGTTTTTATATGGGATCTAGTTAAAAGAATCCATTAAAATTTAAGATAATTTAATTAACGTTAACCATGAAAGCAGCTGACTGTTCTAAAGAAATACAAAGCATTGAGTGAATGGGTGTGACTATAGATCTGGATGCGAGTGGGTGTGAATAAACGAAAGACACTGATAACTGATCCACATCTACACCACACCTATATCCACTCTTCAAATAGTTTAATCAAATCTTTTCATTTTTTTTCTCTCAATAATTTCAATTGTACTTTTATGAAAAACTTATTTTCTTAATCTTAATTTTAGTCTTAATAAAAGTAAAATATTTATTTTTATTTTTTTCAAAACAATTCATAAAATCCTACAAAATCTTAATCAAATGAAAGTATTTAAGAAAAGAAATTTTTTTAAAATAAATTATTAGACTGATTTTCTAATGTTAATCTATTGAAAATATAGATATATTAGATTCCAGATGATTTATTTTGTATTGATATTATATATAATACATATATATAAATAGCTTAAACATCAAAGTAATTATTTCAAATAAATATATTTGATTCTAGGATTTATCTGAATAAAATTTTACTAAAATCATAATATTAAAATAAAACTGTATTAGTTGATAGATTGTCCTTTGATAAATTTATAATCAAAAGTCAAAATAAATATGTTTCGATAAAAGTAATTGTCTTTTATGTTACCTCTATATGATGAAACCTTCAATGATTATGATCAGATATTCGATTGAATAATATTATCTTCGTACTTTTATGAGAGATATATTATATATATATATATGTTTTAATGTGTAGGTGCACATAATAAGATAAAAATCAGTTGTATTGTATCGTTCTCCTACAATAAATACAAAATCACTATTAAATATTGAAGCAATCATACGTTTTAGCTGATAATAACCGTATTAATGATTCTTTAACACCCACATAAATAAAAGCTATTACCTTACCTGTACGAATCTTGTCTCACAAGTTCAAGGTCTATGTGAAATATTAAAATAATTGCATATTTTACTTGTTTAGCATAATATTTTCATTGATGATAAATGACTGATCATTTAAAAGCAGTTAATTTGCGTGTCTATAGAAAATAGAAAAATATATATCAAAGATTATTAAGAGAAATTGAAAATTTTAATCTTGTTTAGAATAGATCAGGAGTGGATGAGAATATGAAGTCTCGGGATGAGGGTGAGACATTAAGGATTTATATGAGGGAAAGAGTATGGAAAACCATTTCACCTTTATCTTTGTATTCATTTTTATTCCTGCTCTCACTCGCAAAGTAGTGGAGGTTAGCATCTTGAACTTTTGTAGTAAAATTATATTATGATTTTATTAATTCGTGTTGTGATTCTTTCTATCAAAAAAAAACAGGAAAATTTCTTATGCTTTACTTTTGACATTGCTATAGATTAGCTATATTTAGATTTTCTTCGATATTTTATTATGGAACTTCACAAAAATTACTGAAAAATGGAAAAGTATTAAGAAAAGTGATGTACTTAAAATGTTAAACTAATTTGCTCATAAGATGAGAATAAATATTATAATCATAGCAACTTGTTCAATTGATTATTTTTCTATCAGTACAGTAATCGTTTGTGTAATACTCTTAGAATATATCGTAATCATTGTATTTATTCTAGATAATTAAGATCAAAATTCTTTCAATTATTATGGATGTTAAGTATATTCGAAAATGCTATTTTTTTCAGTATGAGATAGTTATGTAAAGATTTTGAATTAAAATAAATGCTTAAAATTTTCTATTAGAAATATATTTTGTTTTTTTTTCTTATTTAAGAAAAATAAATACGTAAATATTTCAAGTTTTATTTAATTATCTACGATGAAAAACAGTATATTTTTTTTCTTGAAATATGAATTATAATACTAAATAGTAAACATAAAAATTTGTTATTTTTGAAAAAGAGAAGTTTTTAAGAAATTTGATTGTCTTCAAACGTAATATAAACAGCTAAATTATTTGGAAGACCAGTAATATTATGTATTTCACCACCATCATTTCCAGGTGCATCATGAAATGATAATCGTTGCATAGTTCTTACAAAAAATAATTTCAAATGAAATTGTGCTAAATGTTGACCAAAACATTGACGAAGTCCACCACCAAAAGTAAGTAAAGCTTGCGGTGGATAATTTTTATCTTCATTAAGAAAACGTTCAGGTACAAAAGCATCTGGACCAGCTGGATGTTTCCAAATAGATTTACTTCGATGAAAACTATAGAGTGGAAAAAGTACACGATCACCAACAGATAAATTAACATTATCAACAGTATCTGGTTGTACAACTTGACGTGTTACAGCTTCAATAATAGGTGCATGACGTAAAATTTCTTTTAATACACAATCAACATAAACTAATTGTGAAACAATTTTAGCTATAAGTACTGTTGTTAAATTAATATCATTTTCACGAAGTTCACGTTTGATATTTTCTTGTACATTTGAATATTTACTTATATAAAAAATAAACCATGCATACGCTGCTGATACATCATAACCACCACCAAATGATGATAAAATCCAATCATAAATAACTTTACGTGGAAGTTTAGTATTTTCTATGAAGAGAACAGAAAAAAACGAAGATTTAATTCTTTATATTATTAAATGAAAATACCTTGATTAGAATCTGATGTATTTAAAACTGATTGATCATTACCTATAAAAGATATATCTTTTAAACTTTTAGAAAATTCGAAATCATCTGTTAAATCATTATTTTGTTGTTTAAGTTCATGATGTTCTTGTTGTTGTAAATGAGAAAGATAATCAACAATTTCATTTGTGACTTTATCCATGACACGAACAGCACGTCGATATGATGGACATAATTGAAGATAAATATATGCAATAGCTTCTGGCATTGAATATCGTAGAATAGTTGTAGCATGTTCAGCAACTGATGCCATTGATAGAATCATATCATTTGCACGTTCACGTTCTTCTTTTCCATCACCAATTATTTGTAAATCATAACCTGAACATAATTGTGAAATAATAAGATGAAATGCAAGTACTACCATTTGATCTTTCATATCAGTATGAATAGTTTCTTTTGAATTATTGTTATCCTTAATACGTTCTTGCCAACATGCTATTACTTCATCGATTTTTTCTACTGCAAAATCTGTATGTTGTGGCATACTTGATTTACGAAAAAGTGGATATAAAATACGTGCAAAACATCGATGTTGACGACCTAAAAATTAATTATATAATATTAATGTTTATCAATTGATTTTACTGCTTAAAATCTTTCTCTCTCGCTCAGTACAATGTTTATTTGAAAGAGCATGTTTTCAGACGGCTTAGTACATCACAGAATGTTATTTGTTAGATTAATCATTATTTTTATTATATATATGAGTGATAATCGCAGCCATTGTACCGTTCGACGAAAAAAATCGAGAAAAATAAATTTTATAATCTGAAGGAGCTGAATGTCGCGTTTGATAGAGTGACCTAAAGTGCTTATGGAAATAATAGTTTCCCTACACTTTCTCGTGAAACCGTGGAGATCCGCAACTATAAGTTAGAATAGTGATAAATAGCTTTTGTTTTAAAACAATAATGTTAATGAAAACCTTTCGAAAAATGTCTACTAAATATATTTAACTGTGGAGATATCGACAAGATTCGCTTTGTTAGATGTCGTGAGACTACGATGATACGAGTGAATGCGCTGTTTCTTTCTCTTTCTCGTTCATTATGCCCCTAATGAATCATAAGTATTTTTGTTTCGCATAGATTAATGAAAAATTTTGTGACATATCTTTTATTCTTTTTTTGGATACGATAGACATACAGAAGTGTTAGCATTATAAAACAGTTATCGATGCACAACCGGTCTCAACATGCTGTGTCCATAAATCGATCAGTGAATACGTTTAATTCCAACAATTAATGTCTCTCTACATATTTTACTGTAAAAATGTCGCTCTACATTTTCTTAGAAAGATTGAATTTTCTCTTAATCGAAAAGGCTTTTTTTCTTGATTTTTCTGGGATATAACACCACTCGTTGAGATACAAAAACTATAAAATTTCTATAGCAAACGGTTTATTTTCCATAGGATTGTAGCAATCACAAAATTCAAAATGTCGCTCTACATTTTGTGTGAAAACTGTGTTTCCTAGTAGTTCGAGTGATTTTCTATAATGATAGGACCTCAAAAACTAATACCGTTTAACTGCCAAAGTATTTTCCCTTGCTTCCTCTTTCATCCTGAATCAAATTCGTCTCAAACGAATTTCGTAAAATGACAAGGCAATCATTTTAATGTCGCTCTACACGAAAATAAGAAGTGTCTTCATCTCTTCTATCAATGATCTCTATTTATAAAAACTCATTTTAAACAAATATTGAGGAAGTATTCTGAAAGTTCATGCCGAGCGCTACAATTTTAGATTAAATAATAGTTTACAAAAGCCAAAACTAGATGTCGAAAAAAAGCGTTTTTCATCGGTATATGTCGTGAAAAGCGGGATTTTTGGTACTGTTGCATCGATATCTCCTAAACTAAGACAGATAAAAACTTGATTTTTTCAGAAGTGAATGTTCATATATAGACCAATAAAACAAAAAAAAATTTATTAAAATCGGTCGAGCAGAACCTCACTTATAAGCATTTTTGTTTCGGGCATACAACGGTACAATGGCTGCGATTATCACTCATATATAAACATTCAATTTTTAAGACTTGTTCAAGTCATTGTATTTCTGATCGCTTTTCTTTCCTTTAAAAAAATGGACTGTATTGTAAGACAGTCTTTCAAACGAAAAAGTCTAAGATGAAAAGGCGACTACAAATCTTTGACCCAGGAATGAGAGAAAGGTAGGCTTGTAGAGAGAAAAATTCTCTATTGAATGGTATATGTACCATCGAATTCTGTTGAGTATCGATTTTTGGCTTGAGTTCAAGCAAATTAGAGACCTGTATCGGAGTCAACTAAATCTCTTGCCTATAATTCATTTCTTGTATTGAATTTTTTTTTGAGGTGAAGATTTTGTTCTTTTATGTTTTCTTTACAAACTGATGTATTGTAAGGGTTCAAACCAATGTTTTAGTGGGGTTCACGGACACAAAAGAAAGTTGGATGCAGGTCTATAATTAGCTTGAAATCAAGCCAAAAATCAGTTTTTACGGTACTCAATAGAAGTGGATGGTATATGTATCATTCGATAGAGAAAATTTTTCTTTACAAACATACATATTTCTCATTAACTATGAAATTTGTAGTCGCCTTTGACTAGTTTCCCCATTAGATCTTTAATATAAGCTACAAATTTCGACTAATTTATATATTTGAGTTAAGATGAATTTTTAAGAGAACATACCTCGAAGTGCTTCAAGTCCATTTGGTTGAAATGGTCTAAAAACATGCATTTCTGTATCAGTTCGTTCATATTTATTCATATGTTTACTATTCAATATATGCATAACATGTTCAAATTTATTAAAAACATAATAACTTCGAGGACCATTCCAGTATTGATATATATCACCATATGTTTTACGTAATTGTTTATGAACATCAGTTAATGTTCGATGTGAAAAAAGAACATTTAATTGTAATAAATTACCAAATAAAAATTGTGGTTCTAAACCGGGCACATCTTTTTGACGTTTAAAATAACGTTGTTTCATTACATAAACCATAATTGCAACTAATAAAGATGTTATCAATAGAAGTATATTGAGCATTTTTTATTAATATTAAATAGATCAATTAATTATCTAGTTTTTACACATTTATCTAAAAAAATTAAAATATTCTTTGTATACATATATATTTTGTTGTCGTTCTTTTTTTGATTAATACAAAATAATCAACTGGAAAGAATTTGATAAGTTAAAATATTTATCTTTATCTGAAAACAACTATATGCCTTACCTATTTCCAATAATTATGTTTAGTCTATTGGTTGAATATTTTTATAGTATCTATAATTTCTATATATAATACATAGTGTATTTTATGTGCGGATAAAAGGAGAAAAGGTGAATGTGGATTGTATTGTTTTTCTTCTTCCCACACGAAATATAAAATATGTATGATACATTGAGGCAAGCCACACGCGATAATGATCACAGTGATTATGCTCACTCACTCGTATAAATACTATTGTCTTACCTTTATATACATAAAAATAGTTGCTTGTCGAATTGATTTTTGTACAGTTATGATAAATACCAAAAATGTGGATCGTTTCATTTTTTTTGTATCGTAAATGATTAACTACGATCGTTTGCGACAATCTGCAAGTTAATTGTGCTCTATATATCAATGTTGTTTCTCATAATACTCCATTCATTATGAAGGTCGTAAATGAACCGAATCGGATATATACTAAGTTTTGAAATTTATTATCGATGACAGCTAAAAATTATATCAAAAATGATTGATTTTAATCTTTATTTTATATTTGAGAAAAGTAAAAATGTTGTTAATAAAGTCTAGTCGAAGTTTTACTGTTCGTCCTATTTACAAAATATAATTTTCATATTATACAATCTATTTTTTTCTCGATACCTATCACCTGTAATCGATATAGTTCGATGGTTTTGTTTTTATCAACTCTGTTTTTTTGTGAATCAACATTACTATATAATTGCCTCCTTTTTTATTCTTAACTAAGATATAGTTTCAATGAGCATGTTATTCATCAATTAAGAACGATACTATTTTTTCGAAAATGAGTCTGACTGAATCAAACTACAGTCAATTGTATAAACTAAGGTTAAATCAAACTTGAATATTTTATTGACGTTTCAAATCGAACTATGAGTACTCACTATAATTCAGCCTCTAATCGTATAATCTAATTCATTGGTTTTGTATTCACATACCGAGATAATTTGTGATACAAAACAAAGTATTTACAATGAAGTGAAGCGTATTTTTTTCGTTTATACCCACGCACGATAATGTTTTGATTCAGTACAATAAATACAATTGATTTAACTTTGCTCCTTTTCTCTATCTCTTATTATATTTATACCTTGAGATACAATGAGAAGAAAAATACGGAATGCATACTTATCAATAGCTTCTGATAATCTGTAGGGCATATAATAAAGTAAATTAAAACAAGAATACTCATTACTCATGAGCATTTTCTTCTTAAACCATCTTTTTGTATGACCGTATCAATTTTACTTATCAAATTTTCTAGAAGATATCCATATCTAATCATAATTGTATGTTCATCACAGGTAATATCAGTATAAGACAGAAATTTGCATGAAAAACGTTTTCGAAGAAATAAATTGTTATAGTGGGAAACGGTATTCTTCAACATTTACGAATACGATTCAAAAAAATATATTTGGAGTTGTATATATCATAGGTACATGTTATTGTGCATGACTGGTTACGATTGCCAAGGTTATATGTAGGATGAAACAAGTGAATCCTGTCTCACGATAAGTAATATTTTATATCATTATTCTGTATAAGAAAATATAAAAATATTTTTTTTGTTTGGATAACATTCTATATTATTTCCATAGAATTAATTAAAATAAATTATCATATATATTCAAGCATAGTAAACGAATAATAACAAATCAAGTACTTATATATAGAGTATTGAGAATAACCACTTACTGTATTGTGATAAAATCTGTTGCTGTCTCATTTTCTCGCTCACCATATTAATAAATGTCACTTTTTTTCAAAATAATATATGTATATGATGTTTCATAGATGGGAATCATCTCTCACAGAATCTTGATTATTATTATTGTTCTTACTATCACTATATCTATGGTTCGACAATATAAAATTTTCATCCTTGTAACCGTATCTTTTCAATAACAATTTTCCGTATGTTTCGTTTTTTATTTTTTTGTTCTGGAAGAGAAAAAAAAATCAAACAACAAGATAAAAGTGCGAGCACAAATCTGCAAAACGAAGAACAAACAACAGTTTCATAACAAAACAATGTTTTCATATAATAATGAAATGATCTTATTTAAAAGAGCAAAAACAAAATGAATAGAATAGAAGAATTAGAATGCGTACAACTATCAAATGAAGATTTTTCAAACACCCACATGTTCATTCTCAGTTAAGAAAAAAAAAGAAAAGAGAGAGAGAGAGACAGAGAAAGACACAAGATCAAAACAAAATTATCCCGGATAAATAAAAGAAAATAAAATAACAATAGCTAAGACCGTGTACGCCTACATAGAAAGTTTAACAGGATAAAGAATAAAAGATCGATTAAGTTTTATACTAATAGTTGGTAAATAATGCAGAAAAGAAAAACAGTATGGTTTAACCAAAAAAAAAAAAAGAAATGGGTATGTACATATAATGAGAAAAAAATGTAAGAATATTGCATAATAATAATAACCGAAAGTTCACCCGTAAAATTTCTATGTATTCTTTTATTCTCTCATATGTTCTAATAAACATGCAAATCACAACAAACCCTATAATAAGAATAGTATGTTTATGAATAAATAACTATATATATATATATATATATATCTAGGAAGAGGAAAGTAGACTTATCAGATGGAGTATGGGTTTTAAGTCGGAGAAGTTGAGCATATACGGACAGGCTTATAAATAATGTAAAACAAAAAAGAGGAGAAGAAGAAGAAGAGAAAAAAATGCAAAAATCACAGTTTTTCGACGTGACAGTTAGGGATAGTGCACATTCCTATTTGTTTCGTTTTGAAGGACCCCAAATGATAGGTATTGCATTCACTGTTGTTTCGTGTACTTGTGATGAATTATCATCAGTTGTTAATGTAAGACCATTTGCAAACGTAGGAAATTCGCCTAGATAATAAATAAAAATTATTGTTTACATCAACAATATTTGAAAATGAATAAAGTTATATTAACAAATATTTTATGTATCCGATATATCACTAATTTTACAAATATTCATTTGATGATATCATATTTTCATACTGAATATAATAACAAAAATGTCGTTAGTATTAAAAGTTATATATAACTTTAATCAAGGATTTTACCTCCGAGAGGTTAAAAACAATCCCTAGAGGGAGAGCAAACGAATAGTAAAGGACGTAAATCTCGAGAGTGCAAAATGTCTCATATCCCCTCGTTAGATAAAATACTGAGTTTAATCATAGATCAAATCATCATTAGAATTGTCTATGCAATATTAAAAACGTTCTAGTTATTGATAGGAATTAGTGAAAAAAAGGATTCACTGAAGATCTCTTGCAATTAATATTACCTAAATCATCTTTATTTGGTGCATTTGATCCTTTCTTTGATGATTTCTTATGTCCATTTCTCATTGTACCTTGTTGTTCATTTTCATATCCATTTTGTTCTCCTGATGTCCATGGTGCGTTTTTAACTTTAAATGGTGCTTGTCGTTGTTGTTTATTATTATTAGGTTTTTTCGTTGATTGAATATTTGTTAAATTATTTGATAATGGTACTTCTTGTTGTTGTGTATTTAATAATTGTTGTCCTAATTTTAATTCACCTTGTGCTTGTAAACCATTTTGTTTATTATATGGAAGATCTTGAAGAAAATCTTCTTCTAATATTAATAAATGATCAATACAAGCATCAATTTTTTCTTGATTTGTACCAATAACATGTACTTTACTACTTTGATTATTACTTGGAAATTTAACTTCAACTTCAAAATCTTTCATCATTTGTTGTAATTTTTGTCCGCCTGTACCAATAATACGTGCATGAATACGATGATCAATCTCAATTTCCATTGTTATTGTTGATTCAAATTCTTGAATTAATTTTAATATTTCATCTCGACATGCTAATGCTTTATTTTCATAACCAATGATTAAGATTTCAATATCATTTGCTGGTAATTCTGTTGATAAATTATGATTTTCTTGTGGTATAGCTTGTTGATCATCATGTGGTTGTGTTGTATCAATTGCATTCGTTGTTGGTGTTGGTACAACAGCTGATGATGGTATTTGACTATTTGATATTTGTATATTAACATCATATTTTTGTTTTAAATTATTATATGTTCGTCGACGAAAACCATTAATTAATGAACGATATTCCGGTTTAATTGTAAAACGTAATTCAAATGAACGTGCTTGTTTATCAATTTGATATTTTTCATAACGTTCAAGTAAATCTTTTTTTAAGCCTTCAACTTGTTCCGATTGACCTTTTAAATGTACAATATTTGATGTTGAATTTAATGGTGGAAATGTGATTTGTACATCAGGATATTGTTTAATTAATGTTTCTAATTGACTACCATTTTTACCAACTAATGGACCATGTGCTTCATATGGAATATCAAGTGTGACTTCAACAGGTATCATTTTTTCTAACGCAACTATAGCTTTTTCAACATCATCCGAACGGCCAGTTATTCGAACAAGATCAGCATCTTTTGATGAATCTTGTCTTGGAGGAAATTTAATTTGAACATTATGTTGTTTTTGTAATGGTTGAATATATAATCCACCTTGTGCAAGTAAATATCCATAATGACGATGTGGAATAGACATTTCTTTTGTTATTGTATTTTGCCATGTATCAATTAATTCTTCTAAACGTTTTTGTACACGTTCAATAGTTTCTTTTGGACCACGTAATAGAACTTGATCAGAATTTGTATTACGTTCAGGTAATTTTATTAACATATCACCATATTTTTTTTGTAAATCATTTAATAATTTACGTTTATTTTGAAAGAAACGACCGTGCCATTTAGGATCAATTGTAATATATTGTTCAATTGAATTTTCTATTGAAATATTTAATTGTGCAATATGTTCTTCAACAAGTTTTCGAGCTTTATCAACATCTTGTTTTTTACCATTTAAACGAATTGGTGAAGAATCTTTTGTTTCATCTGGCGATGGCATATCAATACGAACATCAGGCATTTGTTCACGTAAACGTTGAATATTTGATCCACCTTTACCAATTAATAAAGGATATAAACGTTTTGAAATTTCAATTTCAGTTGAATATAAATCTTTTATTTTTTGTTGTAAAAATTTTGAACATTTTTCAACATCTTCTTTATCACCATGTAAAATAACTTTATCACTTTTACCATTTGCATCAGGAAATGTTATTTGAATATTATGAAATTTTGATCGAACTTCTTCTAATTTTTTACCTTTAACACCAATTATCTGAGGATAATATTGTGGATCAATACTTACACCAGTTGTTCGTTCATTGGACTAGAAAAATAAAGAAAGAAATTATCTTTGAACTTCATGAAATACGATTTGAAAAGAATTTTAGTTTTTTCCTTGAATACCTGTTGATCAGCTAATCTTATTAACATCTTAAAATGATATAACGATTCTTTTTACTATTTAACCTTATCAATATCGCCTTTCGTAATTAATCTACACAATGATTATATAGTTATCAAATATGAAGTTCATGTTTCTAACTTAAACAATTGACCTGCATTGAAAATTATACAAAAGTACTAATAATTCTGTATGAAATAATGTCATTCGTTTGAGTTTCAGTGTATCTGCATCATATAAACTATTTTGATTACTAATAAATCAAAGAAAAACACGAAGGAACTCTAACGTGTGTAATTACTTTCTTTCAATAGATAAAACGCTTTCGTTTACGATGAAATCAATGTTTTATAAATAAATTTTATATTAAAAAAATTTCTTACCAATTTTTGAACTCGTTCAAGTAAAATTTGTCGGGCTTTTTCAACACTTTCTTTTGAACCCATTAATTTTACATGACGACTTTCATCAAAAGGAAATTTAATATCACAATTTGTTTGTTCTTGTATTTCACTTAAACGTATTTGATTTTTTCCAATTAATTGCTTATAATATTGAGGATCAATATCAACTTCTAAATATGTTGTATTTGTATTTCGTAAATCATCAATAACAGTTTGAACTTGACTACGAACAAGTTCAACTTCTTCCGGTGGACCTTCTATTGCAATATGATCATCACGAAAATACATTCGTACATCTGGATGAGATTTTCGTATTATATCAAGATTAGCATTACGTTCACCTTTAACAACACTATGCATCCAATGCGGTGCACTAATTTGTACAGCAGTTAATGCATTTGCCTTGAAATAAATAAATAAAATTAATTTCGCAATTTGAAAAAAAAAAAGTAATTTTACCATTTTATAAATCATTGTTATAGCTTCACCAATTTTATTTGTTTCACCAATAACTTGAATTGTTGAGCAATTTTCTTCTTGATTCGGTATACGAACAACAACATTTGTTTTATCAAAAATTTCTTTTAAACCAGCACCTTTTTTACCCAATATAAAACGATGTTGTTCACATGGAATTTCAAGAGGAAATGTCATTATTTTTCCTTCCTAAAACACAAATCATTCTTAGAAATATAACTCATGGGACAAATTCTTTTCAGCTTTCTTAATCATTACAAGATGAATTTCGAATATCGATAAATATTCCCTGATTAATTTACAATCTAATAGAAACCGTTACGTCTCAGTTTTACACTTTAAGAAAACAAAATATTTACCATATTTTTAAAAAATTGCATAATTCTTATTTTAGCTTGTTCAACAGGTTCACGTTCTCCACGTATAGATATTTCATCTGTTTGTTTAATAGGTGGTGGTAAATCAATAGTAACATTTAATTGTCGATGTAATTCATTAACAAATTGATAACGTATCCATGGATGATACAGATATGGTATTATTAAGCGTTCATAACCTTTATTCAATTGTATATGATATAATTCAAGAATTTTTTGTTCACATAATTTCACATTATCTTTTGCGCCTGATACAAGTATAAAATTTGATTGACTACCTTGTGATGGTACAGCAATACGTGTTAAAGTTTCTTGTTCTAATAATTTTAATATTGAACCACGTGGACCAATAATAAAACGATGAAAATCCAATGGAATATCTACTTCAATTTTAACTGGTTTTTGTAATTCACGACTAATAAGGACTTGAGCTAAACGAACTTGTTCTGGTCGACCGGTAATAGTAACAATTAAATTTTGATCTGCATTGAAAAATGTTATATTTGTAGCTGAAATAAAAACGGGAATTTTAGATAACCAAAAAAATAAAAATTTAAGAAATAGTTTACATGTTTCTTTTTGAATTCGCATACAAATTTTTTGTAGTGGTTGTCCACTAGTAATGGATGGATTATTAGCACCATTATTACGTGTTGATTGATTAGCAGCACGTCGAGAATTATCCGCAATACGTTGTTCTTCTGGAGGAATTTCAATCTTAAGAAGAAAAAACAAATGAAATATCTCTTTCTGCGTAAATTTGTATGGCTTCGAAAATTGAATTCAGTACGAAAAAATATAACTTTACTTACAATTTTAGTTGTAGCTAATTTTTCATAATTTCCTATTTTACGTCGTCGATCTTCATCATTCTTTATCGAAGACTGTAATGATGATGTTGTATGAGCCATGTTACCTATTCCATTTAATGATGATGAAAATGGTGATGAAGAAAAAAATGTATTCGAACGATTTATATCTAATTGACCAGAAGATAATTGAGGAAATGCCTCATTATAATCTGGTACATCATCAACTTCATTTTTATTTGTTGTTGATGATGCCAAAATGATTCCAGTTGTATCAGTTAAACCATTTTCTCTTAAATAATTCTCATCCGTTACTGTAGCCATGATCAAATAAATACCTACAATAGAAATCAATCAAATATAATATCATTCATGATCAATTTTGGTACATAAAATGTTATTTTTTGCATATCAAATTACAAAAAAAGAATGTAACACGTAGGCATAACATTCATAAAAAGACGCCCATCACCACAAATAGAGAGAGAAGAAAAAAAGGAAGTACTAAAAAACATCTGTTCGCATTACATATCAAAAAATAATAATGGAAATATTCTTTTTTTTAAACTTTAATGTAGTGGTTAGGAAGTCTAACTACTTGATGTAAAAAGGGAAACTATCAATAAAATACACTTAGATATTCACATATCAAATACTCATTATTCTTTTGTCAATATTAATTAAAGTTGTTAATGAATAAAATATCAATCGAGAAATCTGACATATATGTATTTTATTTACTTTCATGTCAAGAAAAAAAGATAAGTAATCTTCGAAAGAATGCAAGACAAGAAAAAGTCTAGATGAATGATAATACGCATACAAAAAAATTTCTATCGCATGACGTCATAGAATATAAGAAGAAAAATCAATAAATGTATATAAATGAAATTTATTAAAATTTTTATGGCTTTTTCTTGTTTGAGTTACCTGTATATTTATAATGAAATATGTCGAAAATTCATAAGATATCTATGCAGATGAATCAATGAGGTTGGAAAATATATTTTGATTGGATAAAAAACTACCAATAAATTTTTCCGATATACAAGAATCATCTGTGATGAGTAAAATTTTTGTTTTTATTTTAAATCTTTTTAAAATATGCTGCTTTAATTATCAAGTAAATTACTCAGATAAGAAAAATTCTTAGATTATGTATAAATCAACTGTTAATTTTTATTCGGTAGATGAATTTTACAACGTGTTTTTTTTCATTATAATCTTATTCTGTCTTATATGATGATGCTTAGAAGCTTTTTTTTAAATTATTAAAATATGATTTCTAAATAAAAGACTAGTGATTTCTGTGAGATAAAATCAATTATTGTCATATAAGCAAAATTTAAGATTTATGTACGAATATCGAATTAATACTAAATTGTTCAGGGTGTCCCAAAAGTCCGGCGTGAATATATTTTCACCATAAGATTTGACTTCATCAACAATTTTTTTTTAAATTGTAGCGAAGAATCTGAAGTTTTTTTTGATCTAGAAGACCTCGCGAGTTATCCCTAAAGAACTATCCTATATCACTAAAAAACAAAATTTCTTCGACTTCTCTTACTAGTTTTCTCAATACTTTGTATATGAAATATTCGAAAGAATTCGACGATCTCTATCTAGCCACATCAAAATATCAACGAAAAGAATTACTAGAAGTGCGTGTTACTAGTATCGTATGAATCAAGGAGTATTTTTTGTTCTTGAGTGATATATGACGGTTTTCTGGAAGTGACTTGCGAGGTCTTCTAGGCTAAACAAAACTTCAGATATATGAAAGAACTTTCACACCGGACTTTTGAGATACCCTGTATTTTATATCTAATTAGAGTTTATCAATATAGTCTACTCTACTCAGACTCAATGATTCCGATATATCGCTATTCATCTTCTTAACGAACGTATCTTTTCCAAACAGATTGATCTCTATAAGTGGAATTTCCTATGCTTGTAATAAATAAATCTATTAGATAGAATTGTATAAGTATTATATTAATTAATTCAATTTTGCTTTGAATGTAAACATTTATTTTTTTCTAGATTTATTATTAGTTGATATGGCACTTGATATATTTTCAATTATTAATATATGGTCTCGAAGTAAACAACCTGGAAAATATGGAGAGGTATAATAGAATCTAACTTTTTCAATTCTAACTTAGTTATCGATAAAATTCAAAGCATTTTTTTTTTTCTGTTATTAGATTGAATGTATCGATACTAATAGTGATTCAACATCAGCGTCAAATCCATTTGTCACACGCAACAATGATTTATATATTGGTACTAGTGATGGGTAAGTTATTATTATTGCCTTGTTGAATACATAAGTGAGAAAGGAAAAAAAAGAAATGTCGACTCTATTAAATGCCACTATCATTCGTTTGCTTTTCTTGTCCGACGGCGATGAGTGGCATTCAATTGTATTTCGAGGCCACAAAGATCACATTTTTTCTATATTGATCGTGCTCATATATATAAACACCGGATCATGCTTAATTGATTTATTGACGGTAGATAGATAGTTTGTGTTAGCATTGACATAGCAAGTATTTATCCTTGTATTTCATTTATTTTTCCTGTAACAATCTATTGTTGATAACTCTAGAGATTTCTTCATTCGTCTATTCGATTTAGAATTTGTTAATCGACATGCATGCATTTACATTGAAAAGAAAAATAAAATGAATCGTTTGTCCCTGTAGAATTACAATACTATATATGCATTTTCCTTTTTTCTTCTTCTTCTTCTTCTATTGCTTACCATATTAATCATGCATAGAGTGTATATCTCATAAGCAACAAAAAAAAGTCTCTTTTTCCGAAGAAAGATAACTAAAATAATATATAGCACTTGCGCACAATTTGCTTAGCTCTTCTTTTTCTTTTTATGAAGATAAATCATGGATATGGCAATGATGGTATCCTATCAGGTTTTTCTTCTTTCATGCAATACGATGAGACATGTCAGTGATAGATCAAGAATCAAACGTCTGTATAGAATAATTTAGTACTATCACCATGTGGTGAAAATCGATATCTTATATAAGAGTTTGGAATGTGTATATACAAGAATTTTATGCACGTGCAATAATCAGTAAAACTGAATAGTGGCATGTTACTTTATAATTGTAGTTCTTTCTGTTTTTTTTTTGAAACTTAGTTTTACTCTCGTTTGCATTCTATATGTCACTTACGCATGCATACATTTTAACAATTCATTTGTTGAACAAGAGGAATACATTATAAAAACACCTTTGTAACAATGACATTGTGGTGAGGAAAAGGGAAGAAGATGCTTTTATACTTTGGTTTTATTATTTGAATAGGGAAGTAATAGAGAGCGATGCAAATAGAAGATGTCGGAACATCCTTGGAGAAAGAAGAGCGGAAAAGAAAGAAAGCGAAACAAATTGAACTGTCACACGATTGCCTGATGTCCGTGATTAGAACTGTTTTTCTTTTCTTCGACTCTCATTTTCTCATGTCATTCACGATCAGATTAGAATCCATACAAAAAAGAAAATAATAATGACATTGTCATGCAAGTCTTAATTTTGCCTGTTAGAATCGAAATTTTTATCAGTTATACAAACATATTTAATGAAAAAGTAGTATTCAACGACTTATTCTTAAGAACAGGAAATAACCCATGACAACTTGAAAGATCAAACGACAGTCATTTCATAAATGTATCATCAAAAGATAATTGCAATGATGTTATTCAATTGTTCTGGAAAATGAAGTCAGACAAATAATAATGATTATATTTCGTAACAGAATGCGTCTCTTGAGGAAGACATTAAAAAGAAGAGGAAGAAGAACGATAGTGATCGATTAATTAGCTTGGCATGAATTTCTATTTGGTTGCAATGATATTTTCCAAACGGATCTAGTTTCACACTGTGAAGTAATGGAATTTTTCCGTCTCTTCTCTCTCTCTCTCTATAATATATACATATTGAAAGAATAGAGCAAATAATGATCGTTGTTGGTCATTCATTTTTTTGTTAATCAATGGTTAACATCAAGTAAAATCTTTTATATAATAATGGGACAACAAGGGTGGACATTTTTTTTTGTCTTTCTTCTATATTGCTTGAACAGAGGACAAAGAAAAAGAGAGGAAAAAAGAGAATAAGAAAGGGAGAGAAACAGGTTCTATCGTATTTCTACATCGACTTTCTTCTTCTTCTTCGTCTTCTCCATCATCATTGTCTCATCTCATTTCTATCGGCATGCTATGCCCTACATAGGCGTAGTACTGTAATTTACAACTTTCTTCCTGTATGTATATATATATGTATTCATCATTATCGTTTTAATTGAATATTTCATGATTATCAATCGTATTTTAAATTTAATTGAATCAATCGTCATTTTGACGTTATTAACATGTATTCTATGTGAACAACAGCAGCAACAGCAACAATCATCTAATCAATTATTTCATATTCTGACTTCTCTAAAACCATTTCGTTCACAAATTTGTCAATTTAAATTTGAAAATTGTATTCAAGATTCTTCCTATGCTGATCAATTAGATACTGATTGTAATATATATTCACGTTTACGTGATTGTTTTCGTTCATTACTCGATGAATCTCAATGTTTATCATCTCAACTTAAACATCAATATAAAAAAGCTAAACAAAATGAATACGAAGCATGTGGTGTTACTTCATCTTATCAATCTGCTCATTCATCATGGTATACTTCCTCATCATCAAAATTACAAACTACCTTTCGAACAATGTTCATACTATTCTTTCTATCATTTATTTGACAAAAATTTTCTATCTACATCATCCGGTGATTTTATGCTCGAATGCATTTGTTCTCTTCAATCTTAGATTATTATTTATCGTTGATCAACACATGCGTTTATTCTATGTCAATAGAATTTTATTTACCTTGTGCTTATTATTCAAGATAAATATAGTTCATATAGTAGCCAAGTGGTAATTGAACTTGATTTATTTATTCATTTTCTTGAATATCATACAACAAAAAAAAGAAGTTTTTATATCAATAACGAATATACAAACCGATTAATCGATTATTTTCTTTAGACTGTTACAAATGTCTCGTATCTTGTTTATATAAAGACAGTGGAGAAATAAAAATTCTTCTTTTTTTTTCTTCTTCTACTACAGACAATATATACATGATTAATGTGCACTACAAATTATTCTCTTGTAATATTAAGATGGCAATGCTGCTATACATACACATATCTATGTTCATTTAGTCTCAAGAAGTATTTTGCCTACTTAATATAATATCGCCGAAGAAAAGATGTGATAAGAAAACGAGCATTACGATAAGTGGGTACTTCTATCAGAAGGAGATATTATTAGAGACACCTGTTACAACTGCAGCAGCAGCAGCAGCTAATCAAGTAATAGAACGAAGGAGAGCGAGAGAGAAAAAATAGTTCAATGCTATATGTATTGTTAATCTTTTTTGATAACATGTCATTATCATTAATGACATACATTTTCGTTGTAAAAGTTTAATGTTCGTGTACTCTTTAAAGAATATGAATCAATGGAAATAACATGATAACACCCTCATTGTCCGAGAATGAATAAGTAATTCATACGTATTTGGAACAAAGATGTTCACTACATATTTAATGTCATAGGAATATATGTATTATGTAAGAATTCTTTTACATTCTAGTTTTGTTCACAAGTTTCGGTTGAAGGAAAAAAAACCGAATGAATCAACATCATCTCAATCAAAAGAATATGAATGTCTTTGTATTGGAAGTCAAAATCTTGGAACAGTAAAAAGATTTTAATACGAAAAAAAATAGATAATTCAATGTTTTTATTTAGCGTAAACCAATAATAAAATTAAAAGTAGTAACAGTGCCTTCTCTTCATCGTCTATTCGTATTAAGTGATAATTTTATTCAAATACTTGATAGTGATAATTTACAAGTATGAATATAAATTTTTCTCAAATGATGTAATTTGTTTTATTATTTAGCCTATTCCAAATATAAAAATAAAAAATGTACTAACATTTTGTATAGCAAATAGATCTAGTCAAGAAGCACATATTGATGTAAATATAAGATTAAACAAATTTTACATAATTAATATTTTTGTTATAGATATGTGTGTCAATAAGAAAGAATAAAGTACAAATCTATCGATTGGATAAAACAAATATTATTACTTCAATAAATGAAATATCTATACAAGATTCATTCATATCAATTGTATGTTTTATAATTAAAATTTATATCCATTGTTTTCTCTTTTCTTAGTCAATGGATGATCATGGTATTATGGCATGTACGGAAAATGAATATTTTTCATACAATCCACCAACTAGTGCTGATCGTCGATCGATAGGCTCTTTCAATAGTATATTTGAATTAAATGATCCTAATATATCAACTTGTTTCACAAATATTTCTCCGGTATGGATATTTTTATTTTATAGACCTAGAAAAAGAATTTATCACTGTTCAGACGAACGTTATCATAAAAAAAATCAATAATCTTTCATATATCGTCTGAGTAGGAAACAAACCTTTAATATACAGTGACAAGTAATTATTTATAATGGAGCATTTGTTTCAAACTATATGATTTATTTAGTTATAAAAGAAAACATATGTATTACAATTTTTCATTGGCTGTTGAGAACGTATTTAAGGAGGTGATATCTTACGAGGGAACTACCCGAGGTATCAAAAAGCTTTTGGACTCAGACTATTTTTATGTAGTAGACCCTAGTGAGTAGCGAAATACCCTAAGTTGATTCGTGTCCTTATTGCTTTGGGAGTGAGTTATGGTCAATTCACTATCTTTTTGACGTATGACAGTATATGAGTGACTTTGGATCTGAAATTTTGCCCATATAGAGATCTTATGAAGACTAAAATACCCTGAAAATATCAGGCAAAACGAGTGAACCCTTCTTGAGATAATGAATTCTCGAAAATCGACTATCTGTTTCACGTGCTGAAGATTTATCTTCAAAAACAGTTGTTTTTTGACCTTTCACAATCTCAAGAGGGGTTCACTTATTCTGCCTGAAATTTTCAGGGTATTCTAGTATTCATAAGACCTCTTTATGGACAAAATCTCAGATTCAAAGTCACTCATATACTGTCATACGTCAAAAAAATAGTGAATTGACCATAACTCACTCCCAAAGCAATAAGGACACGAAGCCAACTTAGAGTATGTCACTGCTCGCTAGGGTCTACTAGCTAAAACTAGTCTGAGCCTTACAACTTTTTATCACTTCGAGAGGTTCCCTCGTCAGTATATATTTCATCGATTCGATGTATGTCATACTTAGTTAGTTTACTATTGTAAAAGTAATTCGAATAAGTTAACCATTCAGTTATGAAGACTCGATCAAAAAATAGCGAAGTTCGGATATAATTTTAGGGGCAATATTTACTTAATGGTCCTCATGTTGGTGTTACAACTTCGTTAGAAGGTACAAGTCAACGTGCTCCATTAATGTTTACTAGTCCACCTTTGAATTTTATCTATTCACATCCTTATTTAATTGTACTTGTTAAAGATTATATTCAAATATACAGGTATGAATATATCTTTTTCAAAAATTTCAAATAAAATAAATTTTATTCAAGTTATTTGGACGATAAACTTAAACAAGAAATATTAAAACAATGTCGAACATTAACAAATATGCAACAAGAAAATTTAAAAACTGTTATTCTGACGGATAAAGATAATATTTATTTACTTGAACCACTTGGTCTTGAAGAACAAATTGATCAATTACTTAATCAATATCGATTACAAGAAGCATTAACATTAGCAGAAAGTAATTGTTCATTAGTAGAACAACGTAGAACAAATCCACTTGTTTTATTAACAAAAAAACGTATTGCATTTATTGAATTTGGTGCAATGAATGTTGTTCGTGCAGTAAATTTATTCGTAGAGATCCATATTGATTTTCATGAAGTAAGAAATTAAATTATCTTTAGAAAAAAAAAACAATTCAATTGTGTTTTTAGATTATATCACAAATACCAAATTTTTTACCACTAGATTCTTCATGGCCAGCTATAGATGAAAATCTTCAAAATCAATATACTCAATGGTTAAATGCATGCTGTGATTATATGACAAAAAAATCAGTCGACTTTTCTCGTCACCCAGTAAGGACAAAATATGACTGTAGTTTTAAAATCTAAGAAATTATATATGAATTTAAATACTAATAAGAGAAAAGTAGTTCTGTATTTCTTATGTGCGATAAGAGTATATGAGGGCTTCATTTGTCGTTCTGGATAGACTTAATTGAATTATGATCAAAGAAAATACAAAAATCATTGAATGAGTGTACAATTCAGTTTGAACTTTGATGACATTACATTCTGTAAAGATCATTATTTTAAATATAATATGATTTAATGAACTAAGATTAACGTTTCTAAGACATGAATAGATCCTCGTGTTGAAAAGATTCATATTACCAGACTTAGCGTATTATCTGTTATTTGAACTAATACTATTTTATTCGTTCATATAAATATGATAGTATCGATTTCGATATTTTGTTTAATTAATAATTTTCTTCTTCTAGGACTATTATCCTGCGTTATTAAAAGCATATATACTTATTAAAAGCCATGAAACTGTTAACGAATTTATTGAAACTAATTCTTTACACATTCCAGTTGATTATACGAACATTCTAATTGATGCAAAGTTTTATCATGCTGCAGCATTACTTTCATCGGCGCATCAAAAACATGAACAAGCAATAAATATATGGAAAAAGTAATGCCTAATATATCTATTTTTATATTCGAACTATCTAAGAATTTTTCTATTTAGCGTAGACTTATATCGAATGAATATTCTAATGATGAAACATTTCCTGGGATATGGATTATTGCAAAATATATAATTGAAAGAAATTTCGATCGATCATTGGAATTCTCTACTGCAGAATGGTTACTGGAACGACATGAGGAAGACTTAGCAATTAAAGTAATATAAAATAATTTTCTTATAATTAAAAAAAATTATTATGAATTAAATAATGATTTTTAGATATTTACTAGTAAATACAAAAATGAATCAAATAATGATCCATTCTCTTCAGATCGAGTTATTAATATTTTAAAAAAACATTCAACAGCATTGGTAGCTTATTTGGAATATGCAGTATTTAAATTAAAACTCGAGGTATGTATTCAATAATAAGTCGAAATTTAGATGAATATACGTGTGATTAAATAAGAAATATTTTAAAACAGATCATTTATAAAAAAAAAAGTAACTTCAATTGAATTTAGCAGTGATGAAGACAAAATTGGATCACATTCTTTATACTTCTACTAAAGGGTTTTTCTCTTATCTATTAATTTCTTCAAAAATACGGCATTCTCTTTTTTAATACCTAATGTACTCTGCACGTTTGTTCGATACCTCTTAGCAACAATCTTCTAATAATCATGTTAGAACAGAAAGCGTTTATATTTACACTCAAAGACAAAAAATATAGATCGTACGATCCAGGAATATCGTTCTTTTCGGCTACCGTTCAGTATATGATGCTGTCGAAGGACAGTTTCAGAAGCTCAATGTTTTTCCTGCACCTCTGGGCAGAACGATAGCCTAACGCAAAGTTCTTCACGCTCCTCATACACGTTGACTAATCACAAACTAGCTATGAGGCCTGTATTGTATATCATAATGTAATCAGCATACTATCGGATGAGTGATCCGAGACAAACAGCTGTTAGTGCTTTGTCCAAGGTCCTTTCATAGTTGATGATACCAAGATTTGAACACAGTACCTTGTGAATACGTGTCGAATAACGTAAATAAAAGAGAGAGTGAAGGATTCATCTTAGAATGAATCTTGTGTACATTAATCATTGATGATTATCATCATCTATATTGCACTGAATACATTGTGATAAATTCCACAGAAAGAAACTAATCTCTATATTAGTTTTAGGTTTTAGTTAAAAATTAAATTATAATTTGTTTTGATTGTGTTTCAATTATTAACGAGGTTTAATAGATCTTAGTTTATTCTGATAAACCCATTAGTAAATAATGACACCATATCGAAATCGAAACAATTTTTGATTGATTGAAATTTTTATTTTAAGTCTGATCAAATTCATACAATGTTAGTTAATATTTATCTTGATCAAATTTTATCAAAATCCGATGATGATAATGAACAAATACGGTACTATATGAAATATATCTTTGATTTTCATTTATGTTTTTCTTTCGTTCTATTTTAGTTCAAAATTGCAAGCATTTATAATCACATCTAATTCTTATCGTATTCAAACGGTTTTAAATCGAGTTAATCAAACAAATCGATTACGTCGTGAAGTCGCTCTTCTCAATGGCAAAGTAGAAAATTTTTCAATAGATTTACATGTATATATATTGATTTGTATAGATGAATAATTTCGATCAAGCTTTTCGAATACTTATTGATGAACTTGAAGATTTTGAATATGCAGAAAATTATTGTATCACTTTATCACAAGGAAAATCTAGTGAAGATAGAAAAATAGTTGCTCATATTTTATTTAAAGTTCTTCTTAATTCATTAAAAAAGTAAGTTTCAATATTAAAAAAGAACATTTTCGTTCTATTCTATAGAAATTCTTTAGAAATTCAGATAAAACAACTCAAGTATTACTTCATATTCTATGTAATAATGAAATTGAATTTGATTTTATCGAAGTGTTACAACAATTACCATCACATTGGTCACTTGCATCATTATCTCAAATACTTCTACGTGCTTTACGTACATATTCATATACTCAACGTTCAACTAAAATTGAATCAGCTTTAGTTCGTGTACAAAATGAACGATTACATACTAAATTAAGCCAATTAAAATCTTTAAATACACTTGTTAATGAACATCGACAATGTAAACATTGTTTACAACATTTCTATGAAACATCATGCGTTGTTTATCAAGATGGTAGTCAAGGTCATGTTCATTGTGCAAAAAAATACAATCAAAAACAGTAACAATTCTACGAAGATTTTATTCCAATGATTGTTTCTTTTTTTGTTCGATTTAAACAATGATTTCTTTTCTTTTTTTTTGTCTATAAAAAATTCTCTAGTTGTTATTTATATTTGATTTAACAAAACAAAAAACAAATTTTTTTTATATAGTGATTATTTATTTATTTTATTTGAAAATACAAAAATTCATCTTATGGAACAAAGTCAAATAGATAATAAACGAAATTTGAAATAACTGATTTCATCGGAGTTCGTGAAGTTAAATGAATGATTAATTGCTTTCAGGGTTATTGTCTTTAAATGAATAGACTCGATGCTTCAAGCAGGGATGTAGCCAGAGGGGGTGCACCGCCCCTTGGCGAAGAATATCTGAAGGGGAGGTACTGGTAAAGAACCTTGTCACAGGACAAAAAATTATTTCCCTGTTGATGTGCACCCTCTATGCAAAATCCCTGGCTTCAAGATCGAAGATTTCATCCAAAATATAATACACTAATTGACTCTCAAATAGATTCCAGTGAATGAAGAGTATTTCAGGCAATTCTAATTACTTCATATACCTTCAGTATATTGAGATCAACTGTTTTTCCTTGACAGAAATCATTTCATTTTAATGAAATGCAATAGATTTGAGTGAAATACATACTTCAGTGCTAGGAGTGATGGCTTAGCATTAATATGAAAATAATACACAGGTTTATTATTGTAGAGGAAACATTTAATGCCGATTTATGCATTAAATTGTCATTAGTAGTACCAATGCTACTTTGAATTCTAAAAATTCAGCATTAATTAACTTTCGCTGAGAAATAAATCAATGCATTATTTTCAGTTTTAATGCTAAGTCAGCACCTCTATTCAGTGCCAAGCATTCAAAACACTGAGAGGAAAATAAAATCAAGAGAAGACTTCTCATAAAAACAAATGGCTTTACTGAGACGACATTTCCGTTACTAATTATGTAATTTAATCTCAAGTAAACTGACAACGTTCATATTCTATTCGAAGCGAATTAATAACTAGTTATTTTTTTTGCGAACCCTTAATGAGTTACATATTCTTCAGGAAATATCCTATCTTAAATCGTTGCTCGACAATCTGTAAATGTGTATGACAATTTCGAATAAAAAAATATAATATTACTTTCGATAAGACAATACTGCCATCTGTAAATTCTAAAACATATTCTTCGCTTTATTCATCCAATAAATACCTTATATGATCAACGGGTTTAATTAATAGTTTATTCGCTCATTGACGATTACGTTACGATGAGTAATAGATTTCACTAAATCATTCCTTATTTGTCACAATGTTATGCTAAATTAGTAATAGTAAGTGAAAAATTATGACTCTTTATATTAATAGGTATTTATTTATTAAATATTCAGATGATGAAACAAACATTTGTCCATGATATTAGTCATCAATTACAATCGGCCATATTCTCCTCAGGCCTAGCAGCTAAATTAATATGTTTATTTTGTATTATTGGATATGGTCTTTCATATAGTCCACAATGTGTTCGAATACTCACAGTCATTCCAGGCCATGTTATGCCTCCAAATTTTTGGATTTGGTTTGTTGAAATCTTTTTTCTATTAAAATATTTAAGTTTCCGTTTTCTTTCTCTATCTCTAGGACATTTGTAACACATACTTTTATTGAATTACACATATGGCATACAATAATTGATGTTATTGTTGTTTTTCTTTATTCAAAAATGATTGAACCATTATGGGGTACAAAAGAATTATTAAAATTTTATTTTATTGTTACAATACCAAATGCATTAATTGTAACATTTACTTATTTTTTATTTTATGGTTTTACATTTAAAGAAGAATATTTATTTGAAAGACCTATCTATGGTTTAGCATCATTTATCGGTGCATATTCAGTTATTATCAAACAAATTATGCCTGATACAGTTATAGCAACAACACCATTTTTTAAACTTAAACAAGATCATGTACCATTATTGATTATTATTTTATCAACACTATTATGGATTGCACATGCTGTACCAATACATTTTTTAATAATGCTTAGTTTTGGTATTATTATTAGTTGGACATATTTAAGATTTTTTCAAATTCATCAAAATGGAACGAAAGGTGATATGTCATCAACATTTTCGTTTGCTAGGTAAGGAGAAATTCATTTTTCGAATTTGATTTTATTTGAATGGGTTTACTTTTTTTTCTTTAGTTTCTTTCCATCATTTATATCACCAATAATAAGTGTTTTTGCGAATACAATTTTTGAAATCTTTGTTAAAATTAAATTATGTCAACCATATGTAAAGAAATATAATGCTTCGTCATCGTCAAGTATTACTATAACAATTCCAGGAGCTGAAGCGGCTGATGCTGATAGACGAAGGTTTGTTTATAGATAATAGAGTAGTCATAAATAAGTGATAATCAGTGATTTATCTAGAGGGAGGGCAGTGATGGCGGCGCCCTCCCGAAAACCGATTTTGTTCTTCCGAAAATTGCAATTTCTGTGCTTATACTATGTATTTTTCTTCCAGAAATTAGGTTTTCGCCCTCCCGGAAATCGCTATCGCATTCTCGAAAGGAAAAATCTAGATAAAATACTGGTGATAATAAAGAATACCTGTGATTCTACACTTATTCCAGATGAGTATAATTAGTAAAATATGTCAGGAGATATTGACAATGAGTCTATTAAGTATATCAAATTAATCATGAGTAGAATCAACTATAGATTTCAAATTATTTATTTTAATTAAAATATGTTTGCATATATAAGATAAAATTAACAAGTCAAATTCCCAGGTCAAAAAATCTTACAAGAATCTGACAAAAAATTGTGGTATCTGAAATCTTGTATCAAGTCATACCACGTTTTTCTTAAAATATCTTACGTGCATTGTATTTTCACAGTAATAATTTTAAGTGAGATTTTGAAAAAAATATTAATTTTAGTAGAATATTATGGTGGCATTGTACTGCATAAGAATCCTATAACAGTTCTTATAGTACGAACTAGTCAAGAAATCAGGAACCACGATTTTATGTATGATCCTTGTCTGGCTTCATCCGATCATATGTGATCAGAGATAGGATTGCTACAAGATCTTGCTATGTGATTGCTCGATCTGGGAAGCTATTTTTTAAGTGCAAAAAAATCAGAATAAATTATAAGATAATTTTTGGAAATAGTACTGATGCCGTTTTAATCTGGTGCCTACTATTTTGTCTTCTGTCCAAAAATAGACTAGATTTTTATATTTATTATTCTATTATGACAAATTTATACATAATTTCAATGAAAATCTTTCTCATTGAATATGAATACTGTTTCCAATAAGTGCAAATACTCTGTATATTCTTAATTGTATTTAATAGAAATTAGAGTATTTCTTAAGTTTTATTCTTTAACTATCGACGGATTTATCTTCATTTGAGATTATTGAAAATTCGCTTAGTCAAAAGAAAGCAAAACTAACATAGTTATTCGCGTTTTATTAACTTCTGAAAAGAATATGGTTGTTAATAGTACTGATACTCTTGTGTTAGTATTATCATAAGTGCTTACATCTGTTATAAGCAAACGGACTACTTGATAGTATATCTATTGGGTTTCCATGAAATTTTTGTCATGTCGACATATACTTATTAACCTTCGCAGAGTAGAAGTATTTATCATAGATCGATAATCAAAATGCATATATCCTTAATATTAATAAATGAGAGCAGATAAGAAGTATATTTATTCATCGTATACATATATTAAAAGTTGTTATATTTCGTTTTATAATATCCTTTGTCCTCTATTTATTTTATAATACAGCTGTCGTTTATATTATTTCAAAACAGTAAAGAATCTATATTTAGTTGCGTCTTTTTTCTCGACGACAACTTGTTTATCTTAACTTGATCTATTGATTATACATTTGTGTTATTTCTACGAAGATGTTTGTTTAAATTAGTTAATTTACTATAAACTTTGAAAGAATATCTTTTCTTTTTCTTTTTATTTTAGACAAAAAGCATTAAAAGCTTTAAATGATCGTATGAAAGTAAAAGATACCTCAAGTGAAGCATGGCCTGAATTAGATGACACTCAACAAAATCCATTATTACCTCCTACACATCATATAGACAGTTCATCGGTAAAAATAGACATGAATAATTTACATGGAATATCAACATCTAATAAAGAAGATTTAAATCAAGAACAAACAACATCATAAACATTAGAGATTCTTGTTTCGTTCTTTAATCACATTGTATAATAAAAAAACAATTTCGAACAAAATCTCTCTCTCATTCTATTTCTCTTTAAATTGATAATCAAATTGAGAGTTAAGTAATCTGAGATTTTCTTTTATTGTTAAAAAATGCAAGAAGATTGAAAACTAATCTTCTAAACTTATAATATTACAAAAGATATGCAAAACGAGACATTCTTACATATCATTGAATTGAAAAATCGACATATGCACATTATACTGATGTCATAATTTGAATATATTGGTTTAAAAATTCTCCTTAGATTTCTGACTTTTAAAACATTCTTTTTATAACTAATGAGTCTTATATAATTATCTCAAAAAAAACTAGATATACTAAAAATGTTCATTCTTACTTACGTTGTCGAGTTTGATCTACTCATGCAGGAAACAATTTCTTGTAATTTTACAATTTCCGCATTTTTCATCAGAAAAAATAATCATCTCATTAGTAGAAATCTTTTGAGATTGAACAAATGAATGAAATACTTTAGTAATTATAATTTTTTTTTTAATTTTAGATATGATGTAATACATTTTTTTTAAGAAATCATTATGTATTCTTTCATTTTGATTACTCGGAAGAAACCCTTATCATGAAGAGTGTATAAGGAAAGATTGACTGATTCAGTATTACGAGTGGGTCGTAAATGTTTTATAATCAAATGAAAGAAGAAAAAAAGATTTGTTCTTGATAGAACATAAATCATCTTATATTTCACTTTATTAATCATCCATCTGTAAGATCAATTACTTCTATATTGATGTCTTCTTTTCAGTCAGTATGTAGGTAATGCATTCATTTATATTCTTGACCTTCAATTGCCATCTGTCAACATAAGAAGTATAACAATTATATTCTTCCAAGCGACATGTAGATTTTAAAGAAGAAATTTAAATTTATAACATTTACCGGTATTGTAAATTTAACTTATCAGTAATAATGTTTATAACAGAGGAAAAAAAGGTCAAGGGAACAGAATCTTCTAAGGTAACAAAGCTTATAGCATTTATGTCAATAAAGAGATATAATATTCTTGAAATTTCCCATTAGGTATTTCTTTTTTTTTCCTGAGATCGTAATACAAAACTTCCGTATGTACTGATCATAAGCTGGATCAAATATTTAGTAATCATATCTGTCACTTGATTTACCAACGACGTATATAGACAAAATACTATTCATTCCAATGACTCTTTTTTCATATTTTATCGTAATTTACTTTTCCTTTTTTTAAATTTATTCTTAAACGATTAGTCAATGTTAAAATTTAGCGAAACAGATGATTTCAAGGAATGTATATTATTTTAAGTTAAATGTCTAATTCGAAGGACAATTACATATGAGGAAAAAAAAAGAAATTTTTTATCCTTGTAAAAAATGGTGCAATTCGTCGATCTAATTAATTCTTTATATAGCATAGTATCACGTCGTTTCTTTTTTTTTCGATTGTATATATATGGCATCATATGTATACTTGATGAGAGCATAAGCAGCAGTAACCCTATCATCATCATCCTGGAACTATTCCTGTCTAGTCGCACATATATATATATATGGATATATGTATTGCATTCGCCTGGTTTTCTTTTTGCTGCTGCTGCTGTTGCTTCTACTACAGCTTGTCGTCGTCATTGTATAGTTGTGTCAGAGAGAGAGAGAAAGAAAGAAAGAAAGAAAGAAAGGATGGATGGAGAATAGCGACATAAAGGCATCAGCTCGAGGGTTCTGTGCATGCTGATGGGGCGATTTTTTTTTCTTCTTGTCTTATGCTCTTATTCCCTTTTCGCTGCCGCGCGGTGAACTGGCCAGACCCATTCCCAGCGACCGACCGTTTTTTTTCTTCTTGTATTCTTCTCATTGGTCGAAGTAGTTATTAATATAATCATAGTAGAAAGAGAGACATAGAGAGAGGGAGAGAGAGACCGCGAGATGGAGAATAAGTAGTTCAGAGTTCATCAGGCGAAAAGAAGGAAAAAAAAATTGTGCATGGTCGTTTTTTTTTGATGGTTTGAGAAAAAAAAATCGACAAAGAAGAAGAAGAAAGAAAGAAGTCCATTCATCCACCACTCAGGTGGAAGAGAGAGATTGTACACATACACACACGTCACTCTCTCTCTCTCTATCGTTTCTTTTTTTTTTTCTTCTTTTTTTTTTCTTTCTCTCTTACCAGTATAGTATAGAAGGGTCGAGCATGTAGGCGTTAATCATCACATTCATATTTCTCGCTTTCGTCGTCGACTGGACATTGCTACGCGCGGTACATTAACGTTCGTCGTTCTTCTTATTCTCCGTTCATCATTCATTCATTCATGAACTTATCATACCCTTATTTCTTGCTTTTTTTTTATTCTAGATATAGATATATATATATATATTTAGAGATTATTTTTTTATATATAAAATCATGCCGAGTGCAGCAATAATTGATCCATTCGTTACTGATTATCAACGTTCATCATTACTTATTCCATCATTTAATAATGAATTTCCAATACAATTTCAACAACAAACACAACAACAACAACAAGCATCCGATTCACTTGGTAAAAAAAGTCAAAATATGACCGAATGTGTACCGGTGCCAAGTTCGGAACATGTAGCAGAAATTGTTGGTCGACAAGGTTGTAAAATAAAAGCTTTACGTGCTAAAACAAATACTTATATAAAAACACCAGTTCGAGGTGATGAACCAGTTTTTATAATAACTGGTCGAAAAGAAGATGTTCATATTGCTAAAAAAGAAATTCTATCAGCTGCTGAACATTTTTCACAAATACGTGCTGGTAATTATTTAATATATATTCATTTAATAAGACAATTCTTTTCTTTTTTGTATTCTAGCTCGTAAACAACAAAATAGTACGAGTAGTTCATCGAATAGTAGTACTAGTAGTGGAAGTAATACCAATTTACATATTAATAATTTAATATTACCAAGTCAACAAACAACTATACAAGTTCGTGTACCATATCGTGTTGTTGGATTAGTTGTTGGACCAAAAGGTGCAACAATAAAACGTATACAACAAACAACAAATACTTATATTATAACACCAGGTCGAGATAAAGAACCTGTTTTTGAAATAGCAGGCTTACCAGAAAATGTTGAAGCGGCACGTATTGAAATTGAAAGTCATATTGCTGCACGTACAGGACAATCATCATTATCAGGTACTCAATCACCTGTTGAAGACAATGATGATACGAAATGGATAAAAACAAAATTTTCTCATCATTTATCACTTCCATTCAACAATAATAATAATAATAATAATAATAATAATAACAATAATAATAATAATAATACAATTGATGATAATAAACATATTCCATTACGCACGGTATCTCAATCATCTTATTTTCCATTAGAAGATAATTCATTAATGAATCAATCATTTGATTTTGGTTCATCATTTGATTTAATCAATGAACAAACATCAACCGATAATAATAATAATACAATATTTGATTCAGTTTGGTCAAATTTTAGTCTTTTATCATTAAAAACATCATGAATATATATATATGTATGTGTTTATATATATATATATATATACACACTCTCAGGTATGAATAATTCTTAGTGTGTGTGTGTGTGTGTTATTTAATTTATTCTGTGTATTTTTTTACCTTTATTTGTTTTGTCATCGTGTACAGCTATCTTGATCAGGGACATTATATGTATTAACCCGGAAAAAAATTAAATAAAGTTTATTATTCTTTTACTTTATTATATTATAAGATCTATCTCATTGTGAATGAGCATGTGCTTGTATGTGTGTGTGTGTGTGTGTGACCCACTAGTCCTAAGTCATTTGTGTGTGTTCCCTATTCAGGAAGTCAAACTGCTCAAACGTTTCTTTTTCTTGTTTGTTTTTTAGTTGTAGGTATCTATCTATATGTGTATGTGAGCTTTGAGCCTAACTTATTTTTTTCTGTCGTTTTTGTTTGTTTGTTTCTTTTTTTTTTGTCAACAACAAGTCTAGGCGCGTAGATTCTTTTTTTTTCTTCTTCTTTTCGGGTGTGTGTGTTTAGTATAAAATACCTGTTTGTGTGTTTAGAAAAACAAAAAAAAACTTATGTGAAAATCTTTGCACACATATATATCATTTATTAGTTGCTATTATTATTATTTTTTTTTGTATGCTCCGCATTATTCAAGAGAAAGAAAAACCATACAATTTATAAGAAATTTCGTCTCAGGTACAAAACAAATCTATGTATACGTGCGTGTAGTTTTTTTTTTTTTATATTTTTTTCTCTTGCTTGAATAAAACGTGCAGGGACATTTATGATGTCTGTCTATCTATCTACTGATTGTTTTTTTTTGATTGATGATATGAAAGAAAAGATATGTCATTATGTGAATACGAGAGAGAGAGAAAAGAAAAAAAACCCTTGAATGTCTATGTTTTTATAATAAAGGTTAATGTCCATTGTGTCCGTATGTTGTTTGATCTAGTCAACATACAGTACCGTACATATATATATTTGCGCGAGTTCATCGAACGGTCAAAGTCATTTTGATCGTTTCTCCCTTTTTTTCTTTTATTCTGTTTCTTCATCACTAAGCCAGCTGTTTCATTACAGATACTTTTCAATTTATGATTAAATACTGATAATCGATTTGAAATATTCTTAATCTTTAAAATAGAGAAAATGAACTAGTTTTTGATTACATCATTGTTTTAATATGATGCAATAATACTCGTTGATTAATCAACCTTTTTTTATTGAAAGAAAAATAACACTTGTTCTTTTTATTCATAGTGTGAATTTATATTTTTTAATCATGTCAAGATCTTTATCATACACATATTGTTTGATGATGATGATCATTTGTAATTATATTGGTGAATATGTGTCGAGATTTCACACTGTGTTTATTCGTTTGAACTCATTTGTATTCAAACTCATTGTCTACAAACATAATCATCTTGATTAGTTTTCTTAAGATGAAAAAAAATCAAAACTACAAACACTATCGATATATATATAATGATCTGTATCGAATGTTTGTATTTTTATCATGTTCATTTCCTGTTTATTAAAATTGATAGATATAAGAGACTCATATGGCATGTCAATATTGACCGGCTGGTCTTTTCTTTCTCCTTATGTATATCCAGATGTATACTTCTCTTTTTTTTGTTGTGTATGTTTATTTATAAAGAAAATTTCGATGATGTGAAATCTACATCCGGAAGGATATTTTTATATTTAGTAGATATGATTCGAGTTTTTTACACACTTGAACGAATGACATCATTGATCATGATAACGGTCAATAAGGTGTTGACAAATCAACTATAGCTCAATGATTAATAGACATAATGGGAAAAACTCTTTTGTGATCGATGAGCTATAATTTTGCCTTAAGCATAACGAAAAGAAAGAAATAGACTTCATCTCATTTGTCCTATATTTAAAGTAAAGATTTCAATTGTTATTATAAACTAATTAATGCTTCTAGCATTTAAATTCTAAAGAAAAAGGTTAAATATTTTAGAAATAGAAAATGTGTTAGTTTAATGTATTTCATATAACATACATTATCATTAGAAAAACATCAATACTTTGCTATTTGTATTTCACACATCTATTGAATTATATTATCAATAACGAATTATATTTGCTTTAGTCTAAAACAATATCCTACATTTTTGAATTAAATAAAAATGAAAAGAATGCTCATTGTTTTTACTCCTTCTAGATAAAAATGACTCATCTGTGTTCTTCATGTAAACAGATCATTGTAAATAATGCTTTACGAAAAAGTTGTGGTTCATGTCAACAAATATTTTGTTCGAAATGTTTATATCAACGTATTGCTGTACCGAAATTAAATTATCAAATGCAAGAAGTTTGTACACCATGTTATCATTCCATTGGTACACAAATGATGTTACAAAAACCACCAAAAGGTTTTACGCAAAGATTAGAACAACAACAACCACAACAACAGCAAATGAGAATGTCGGTCAATCAAATTGATCCTGAAACAAAAGCACTTGAAGAACGTCTTCAAAAATTACGTATGGATTTTCCAGCATCATCATCAACAACAGCTGCTGCTGCTGGTGTTGCTAATACTCCGGATGATCTTCTTCGACAAATGAACGATGAATTATCGATTCAAAACAATGATCAAAACGCTCTTGCAGATCGTCTACGTATTTTACATGAAACAATGCCTGCTGCAACTCCAGATACTGTTATTCTACCAAAACCAAAAGAAGAAGTGGTCGATGATGATGAAGATGAAGAATTTCCATGGTGTACAGTATGTAATGATAATGCAACAAAACGTTGTCTTGATTGTGATGAATTATTTTGTGAATCATGTGTTAAAAAAATTCATCGTCAATCATCGTATAAAAATCATCAATTAGAATCATATAAACCATCAGCAAAAGCAAAGAAAAAATACAATTATTAAAATATCATTTGGTAACATATGGATTGATCCTTTTTTTCAAGGCAAAAGAAAACAGCGGGATAAGTACTTATTTTTAACAGAAAGAAAACATCTGCTTCAATATGAATCCACTATTTCTTCTTGTTCGTCGTCGTCTTCTTTTTTTAATATTTAAATAAAATTAACATTTCTATATTGAGAAAAAAAAAACACTTGATAAACATATAAAAGCATCACTCACACTCACTCATTTATTTTGCTCAAGGCTATGTTGTCTTTAAAAATTCTCGTCTAATATTAATTAAGAAAGTTTATATATGAGAAGCCTGTCAATCTTTCGAATGAGTTCATTAATATTGGTATATATGCATGAACACAAATGAATTCGATTTTTTTCTTCTTAAGATTAACAGCTGTTTGCTTGAAATTGGACACGCCCTAGATTTCTATTTCATTAAGCATAACAATTCTAATTGTAAATTTTTTGAATAAAAAAAAAGAAATGTTTTATAATATCGATATAAATATAATATGACTTATTTCATATAAATTTATCGTTTGTGTGTGTTTGATATGAATGAAGATATGGTTAAGTTAGAAGGTAAAACCTTGACCTGAAAAGATAAGAAGAACGAAAATGAATGGATAAAATATAAACTTATATCTCTGTGAATGATACATTTGTCAATATTAAATATGTGAAGAAAAAAAAGAAATGTTTTATAACTTGTCACAGTTTATTCATAGGTCTGATGTGTTAGAATAAATATTTAATTTTTCTGTTATTAACAAATAAAATGATAATAGAATTTGTATATTAAATAATCATAAAAAAAGATAGAAAAGAAAAATTCAATGGTCTTGTTATCTTGATGGCTGATTTAAGTATTCAAATAATTCATTTAAGAAAAAAGGGAGTGACATGGCTTGAGATAACGGCAATATCGAACAAAAAGCAAACATATAGAGTTCTTATATCGTATATGAAATCATTGCAGAAAACAGCAGAAACTTTACTAATGAAATTTTGAAAGTCTAATATAATCTCACAATGCGTTTTCTCTTTAATCTTGGGATTTTCTGAAATTTTATACGATCAGGTTGTTTATTTTTTCTTATAACGATTTTGTTTCAAGTAGAAGATTCGAAGAAAAGGACAGGACATATAGTCTCGGACTCAGGATCGTGTCGATTTTCATCGGTCTTTTTTTTATTTTTAGAAAGTTTTTGTGGCATTAAAACTTATTATGTTACTTGTTTCTAACGGTTTTCATGATATCAATAATCAAGAGATTTGAACCTATAAGTTTTTATACTTACGTTTTAAGATCAAGATCTTATCGATAATTGTTATCGTGTAACTGTCAAAATATTTAACTATCAAGAAACCTTAGATAAGAAATCTAATTAGAAAACTCTACGTTTTAGCTTTTTTTCATCTATTTATCGGTAGTAGCATTCGTTTTATGAATTGAGATATATTTCAACTGTGTTAGATAATTATTTGAAATAAAAATAGATTAAATTTGTCAAGTGTAAAGAAATGAGCCAGCCAAAAAATCGTTAGATATTAGGTATCAGTTGTTGCGAATTCTTAGTCAAAACTATTTTGAAAGAATTTTTCGTTTGCTCTTCATATTAGCACGTGATCCGTAACAGCTGTTACTATTAGAAAAGTAAAGAATACACTGATTTTCTGCTGATTAAATCATCGGCTTCGACTGGTCGGTCTAGTCTGGTTTGGAAAAATCAGATCCGTTCCAGGTCTGAAATAGTATGTAGATATGAGTCAGTTGGTGATAAATAATAAATCATCAGCGTTATTTCAACATATGTTAGTTTAAATTTTCGATTTGGATGAACTCATGTGTTGAATTAGTGTTACCTACATTTTAACAGTATATAAATTTGACTTCATTCTAGAATAATCGTGATTACGAAGAAATTATTTCGTAGTCGAGTAAAACTCAAATACTATACTTAGCCTGTAATTGTAGAAACAAACAAGCAAGAAAAGCTGTAATAAGCATATTTTTTACGATAAAACAGAGCAGGTAAGACTTGATTTTCTGATCAAATTTATATATTGTGTGTTTC